ATAACATGTATAGCAGAGACCCCAGGCAGTTGCTGGCACGCATAAAATGGCGAACTGATATTTTTAAGGCTTGGTTTATGTATGGATTATACAAATGGAATATTACATAGTTATAGTGCGTTTGCCTTCCAACATGCACACATTAGCCAGAAGATGTTTGAAAAGATCTTCATGCCAATGACCGAAAATGGACTGTGGATGAGAGGCCAAAACATAAAGGAAACCTGTTTTGCAGAATATATAGATCAGTGTGGACAAAGCTGTATCTAACTTCCTGCTAGAGATGGCTTCATGCCGAATGAACAGATATAAAAGTATCAATCGTCTTATCCAGCTCTCCATCAGAAAGCACATTTCCCCAAATGTAAAACTGCTACTTTAATGCCTCAGAAAACAATCCAAACAATGTTTTAGAGAAACTCAGTATCTTTCAAAGATGAAGACATTAAACAGACTAGGAACAACTAATCAAAGTGTTTTTGAAGCTTGACTCATACCAGGAATAAAATTATGCACGTCTCTGCCTCAGCTGCTTTTCTCTGCTTTTAATCATCCTTATTTTAATCTGTCTCTCGCAATTGCGTTTTCTTCAAAAACAAGCGCAGTTCTAAATAGTTGAGGGTATCCCTTCAAGTCACATGTTGTGTTTAAAAAAAACAGGAGAATATGACATCTTTTTGAGTCAGTATTTGTGAATTTTGGCTAAATTAAGCTCATTGCTCATAAATGTCTAAAGTAGTGAAGCTCAAAGCAGTTCTTTTCAGCGATCTAAATCACCAGAGACAGTTCATTAAAACACTTGTTCACCGAAGTCACCTTGTTGAATATCAGTGATGAATACTGCTTCTACTTTTCAACGTGCCCAGCCTGATTCCAACAGTTTGAGCTGCGTAGTACGTATAGTGAACAAATCACTGACCCTGCAGTGTTCCCTCACAGTGAGAAGATCTGAGACGCTCTTCAGCCACCTGTTTTGTTTTTTTGTTTTTACCATGCAGGATGCACTTGTTCCCTGTGAACTAATCACGTTTGCTCGCAGCACTCCGTGTGAATAAATCCATGACTCAAATGGCTGATTCAGTGAATGCTCGCCACTCGACCAAGAAGGAAGAGGTGGAGATATAGTTCCGTTTGTTCACCCAAATAATTTATTGTTTTGGCACTCTAGTTTCAAATTATAGGCTGAAACATGCGCCGCTAGAAACACAATATCAGCATCTGTACTCATTACATTCTAGCTTCACTAATTTAATTTGAAATTAAATTACTAAATCTAATCTGAATTACAAGAACTGAACATAAATTACGAGGATTGAATGTAATTACAAAAACTGAACTGAACAGCAGTTGAATCTGAATACAAGAACTTCATATGAATTAAGAATTAAACTAAATTAAAAAAAAAAAAAAAAGAATATGGAAATAAGCACACTTTCAAATTCTCAGTGAGGATATATTACAGTGCCAGAGAAACTGAATTCAGTTTCAATCCAGTAAATTCAATTTCAAATTATGTGATTCTATTGCGAAATTTGCTTTTTATTACAAATATTCAAGTTCAGCCGTTTCAATTCAGACATCCATAATTCAAATGCAGATTGAATTATTCTAGTGGCAAATATTTCTGTCCATATAAAAGTGCATCACTATAAAGAACCGGCAGTTTAAGGTTGTAATGTTTTCAGCAGTCCTGAACAGAAGACTATGATTTATGCCTCAATGTAGGATAGCAGATGCAGCTGATGACTGAATTTGGCATGCACCTGTGGAGAAGAAACTACATTTTGAGGAGAGCAGTTCAGCTTGGGAGGCTTTCATCCCTGGTGTCGGTAAAGTGTATCTGCTGTAAATATTTCACAGAGCACATGCGAGCACACACAGGCAGGGTGACAGGCAGGGTGGCAGGTTGAGGACAGAGAGGGGGGGGATGGCTTGTGTCCTAAGGCCAGAGCTGGCAGGGAGAGCAGGGCCACACCTCAGCCAAGGTTATCGCCGAGACTCAGAGAGAAGACAGAGATCCCCTTTGTGGTTCACAGCCACTCGCTTACATGACTGTCATACCACAAGACATTTGCGTGGAAGATGAGAGCAGCCGAGCGTAGTGAGCTGACAGGCAGAGAGGAAGAAGCAAAGACGAGCAGGGGAAGAAAGAGAAGCTGAGGGAGACTGAGAAAAAAAAAGAAAAGAGAGAGAGAGATTCAGAGAAAATGAGTGGGAGGTGGGAGCACAGAGTGGCAGACTTATACTGTAGATCTCCGTGGTATCTTTTCAAAGTGCCGAATGACACTTCCTATCACTATGTCGAGGGAAGTGGAGCGTGTCAGCTCCGGTGCTCTCTCACCCCATCTTGCATGCAGAGCAATTACCACTGGCACAAAGCCCCCCACCACCATCATCCTCCTGCAATTCAGTGGAATCAGCCAGCAGACCTGTGACTCATCATTTAGAGTAATAGGCCTGTCCTGCATTGGCCTCAGGAGTTTCACGGCTTGTAGGAGGCATAAGGAGCGCAGGGAGATGACTAAACAGAGCAAAGTTGTCTCATTATAGGGGGAGGACATCGCAGAACTCATCTCACCTTTCATCCTTAATAGATCAAGAAGGCAGCCCTTTAATGCTATTCAGAAGCTGTCATAAGGCCTGGAAGTTGTCAGTGTGCCTTGCTGAAGGGCACAAAAGCAGCCCGTGGACAGCATAGCATGAAATCTACTTTTTTGTTCCTGATGTGATTCATCTGTTTAAAGAGAAGCCAAAGAGAGGCATGTCTGAATAATCTGAAAAGCTGTATTGCCAGTGAGTGCTACATAAACCATTGTTCCACCAGCCCTGTGATTTGCACTAAAGGGGTCGCAGTTGGTTGCCATGGCAACCTTTCAGTATAGATGGCCTGTTTCTTTTCCAGTAGCGGTGATCATCAGCATCATTGGAGGAGCATCATTAGCAGGGAGCCCCCGGGGCTGTGTGATCAGTGCCTGGCCAGGACATTAGACGGTGAGAACAGAATGATAGACGGAGGATTGGGTCGTTATCATCTGCAGGCTGCAGCAGGGCTCAGCTCCACCAGCTCCCTTGTACCTGGATGACTTCCTTTTTTTTCCTTCTTCTTCTTCTTCCCCTGAGCTTGCCTCTGCATGTGTTGCCTTCAGCCCCGCTCGTCTCTTTTGCAACAACAAAGCTGATCTCCTCATTGTTGTTGTGTCAACACACGTAATGATTGTATCATCCCTGCTTCCAGAGGCTGTCATTCAAATGGCTCCTCTGCTCCCCGACATGCTCAGGGGCTCGTGTTCACGGCTCTGTGCAAATTCAGGCAAACACACAACAGTGAGACACATTTGACACCGTTCAGAGGCTTTAAAGACCCTGCTGAGGTAAACGCTCACACGGTGGGAGGCTTGTGTCTGAGCAGGAAGATAAAACAGCCTCAGCAGCCCTTACGCCACACTGCTTATCCTGCACCCCTCCTCACGCACGACTTTGTCATTGGAAATAAACATATCAAAATGTAAGCCTGCACTCCAAAGCGCTGCTCTGGGGGATCTGTACACGCTAAACTCGCAGCTGTAAATGTGTCATTCTCAGTTCCTGGATCATAGAGCTTGTGTTGTTCCTCTGGTTTCAAATCAAAGCAGAAACACAGTGTGTTTGTATGTTTACACTGGTGTGTGAGAGGTGCAGCTACCCCACCCCCCTGGAGGCTGGCATTGGAATTAAAGGTGGAGAACAGAGTGCAGGTTTCTCTACAGCTCCTTCCATCAAAAGCACACATTCACAGAGCAGGTGTGAAACGAGTGATGAAATGTATGAATCGTAGAGGTGTGATTCATATAGACTCCTGAACCACACTATGACAGCTCCTGTGCTTTCAAGTCTGACAGCTGCTCCTTCTACCAGAACATACTAGCCCTTCATTTTTTTTCTCTTTCATGTCAAAAAAAAAAAAAAAAAATCTACCAATCTTGACTCCTGTTTAAAAAGGACAGTTTTCCTGCGTATAAATAAAAGAGGTTGAGCTCAGAGATGGAGTGATGTCCTGGCCAAAGGAACCAGCTTTGCCCATCTGTTCATCTCTGAGCCCTCTCTTCCACCTCACCTCCCTTGTCTCACTCACTTAGCGGTGAATGTGGACCGGCCACCGAGTGCCAGTGGAGGGAAGAGACGCAGGGCGTGCACTGAGGAGCAGATGGGAAATTTCAATGAGCTGGAAAATCCAGAGTAGTAGCAAGGCCTTCTTCAGAAAGCAGGCGAGGTCACACTGATGCAACAGTGACCCCTTGTGGATGCAAATGACACCTTTAGCGTCTTTCATTTGTAAAATATTGAGCACATTAAAGGAGATGCACACATTTTCTTGATTTAAAAAGTGAATTTACAAAGAAAACAATTAAATGTTCATAACGTGCTTGGTGCATTGATTACGGACGTACTCAGTTAGCATATCTGCCACAATGAGCAGCCAGCTAGGCAGAGCACAAAGTGCTGATTGGGGTTTTCTGTTCTCCACTTTCATCCATGAACACAAGACATTTTAAATTCCAGATCCACTGCATACCAAACAGAAACATTTACCGAAGATCTACAGCAGCCTTTGACGGCAGTTTTTGTTTTGTCAGCCGAAACCTCCTGGTGCAGATCTTGCCTGCCTCAAGAAAGAAAAAGAATAATTCTTGATACAGCACAATTTATTCAAAGAAAGTCTGCAACCTCCAGATATTTTTCGAGCAACCCACAAAGTCCCAGCTCACTGTTAAGACTACAAATACGAGGTTGTAAAACAGGAGTGTGTGTGTGTGTGCTGTAGCAAACCCAGGAAATGTATTATAAGAACTCACAAGATTTCAAAGTACTTACAACGATTTAATGAAAGAAAAAGATGAATTTGTGTATAAAAACAAAACACTTTATTACAATTAGGCTGAAAAATCCAATGAAAACACAACTACTTTACAAGTACAAATGTTTTTGTTGATATTTACATTTTTTTTTCTTTTGACATCAATAAAAAAAGACAATTTATGAGAAAACACAAAATACTAAAGTACATGTTTACAGTGTATTTGCTGAAATAAAAAACATATGACTAAAGGAACGTGCATTACTCTCCATTCAGTATCTATAGACAACGAGAGAATCGGACATAAAAGGGACTATTTTATGAATACACTTATTCTAATGGAGAGCTCATTCCCCAATGCAGAATCACCCATAATCCTCAGCCTCAGACATCTGCTGGGTGATATAATCATCATGTAGAAAGCATGACTGTCTGTCATATGATGTATCGGGCAGTCACTGTGGGAGAAAATTTTCTGTTGTAATGTCAAGAAACATTCCACATCCATCGAAACAAATGAAGAATAGATGGTTGTTGATTCATCGAGACATAGTTATTGATCCCACCAGAATTCTGCGCAGAATGATTGATCTGCCAAAACAGAGCTGAAACTGGAGACAGTTGGGGTAAAGCAAAGGTTTGATGTGTTGAGAATGTGGCAGGATGTCTGTCTGCACTCAGCAGGAATGCACAACCTCACCACAGTACATGTGTACTACAGGACAACACTTGGTAAATGCGGCTTTGTGGTTGTGCATCTCCTAGCTGCTCCCCCCGCTGGGCTTGGCAGGGGTTTTGGCCCTGATGCCCCCCTGGCGAGCTTGACCCTTGGTGGTCTGTTGGGGCTGAGCAGGCTGCTGTGCCGGAGACTCGGCGGCAGAGGGTGCAGCGGGCTGCTGGGCGGGGCTATGTGGAGGAGGCGTCTGGATCTGGGGTGAGGCGGCGGCAGTCACCACCTGCTGCTGGATGATCTTCTGCTGGACCACCTGGGCTGTGGCGGTCCCGGCGGAAATCATCTGCACCTGAGCAGGAGCTGAGGTGGCTGCCTGGGTCAGAGTGACGGTCTGAGGCTGGGCCTGGATCTGAGGAGAAACAACACAGACTAAATGTTTCTTTACTGTTTGAGAGGTGAGATGTGATCCTTTCCCCTGAATTCCATAGCTTTACGGTACTTCCTCATAAAACTGACAAAGACTGTGAAAATCTTAAATAATGACAATAAAAAGCAGATTTGTCAAAAGTTTAGCTTCAATGAAAATATTACATTCAAACAAACTATTGAAAGATAAAAGCATTAACCTTGTGTTCACTTTTTTTTTTTTTACTTACTGGATTCATTTTTAGCTGCAATATAGAATCCTGAACCTCTCAAATGAAAAATATCTTCAGTCTAGTATGACACAGTTATAGTGCCATAAATCATAAAAGATAAAAGTCAACTGTCAGAAAACTCAAAAACCAACTATGTCTGGAGTTAAGTCTCTGCATAACTATTTGAGGCTTATAAGGAGTTAGTGACACAGTTCAGGTACTATTAGCCAAGTTATCTGCCCTACTGAAGGTCCTACATAAACAATCCTCAGCCTAAAACCCTTACCTGCTGAGGAGAAGACACAATTTGTTGAATATTGGCCACTGCTGGTTGCTGCTGCACTATTTGTGGTAGCTTAGGTACCTGATAGGAGTAGTAAACAAGAAATTCTCATATCATTACACAATTGTCTATCTGAAAGTACGTATGTTACAGTAGTGGCAGCCACTGATGATGTACCTGGATTTGGGCTCCAGTGGTTTTTTGGGCCTGGGCGATGGATGCAGTGAAAAATTGGGTCTTGATTCCCGGTGGGAGTTGGGTCGTGGTAGCGTAGGTCACCTTCTGCTGCGCCTGCTGGGCTGGCTGGGCTGCCTGCACTGTCACCTGCTGGGTGCCGATCTGAGGCAAATAAGAAAAAAAAACTGTATATACAGTGGCTAAATATCCCTATTAAATTAAGATTTCTACTGAGGTAATGAATTCTGAATGTTTATGTATAACAAGACGTGCAGTGCATCTTTAGTCTCTTGTTGTGGACAGACTGATAAACAGTCAGTTGTCAACAAGTGAAAGTCTACTATTGGTCTACTATTTACTATTGGTATGGTGTGTTTACCTTCTGCTGTACGGTGGCCTGTCCCTGCTGTGGCTGTCCTGCTTTCTGCTGGGCTGCTGCTGCTGCCTGAACTGCTGCCGCCTGCTGCTGCTGCTGTTTCTTCATCTGAATGAGCTGCTGGACCTGCATCTGGGGGAAGGGCGGTGTCAGCACAGGGCCACCTGACAGAGAGGAAGAAGATTAAGAAAGTGGAACTTCAGGACATATCAGAAGATGGTGATAATTATAACAATAGCAAATTCTTTGCAATAAAAGAATGTCCAACACATATGATGCAGGCCTAATCAATGACAAATACAATTGCATCTTCTGATTTGTATTCCACTGTGTATCATCATCATTTAAATATGTAGTCACTTATCCATAATATAATTCACTTTGAAAAAAATGTTCACTGTCAATAAAATCCAAGACTTTCAACACACCTGTTTTCTGGGCCTGACCAATCGCCACACTAATGCCTGCTACAGTGACTGGCAGTGTAGTGACGCCAGCTGATGAGACCACAGCTGGCACAGAAACCACAGGCGGCTTGGTGAGGGTGACCTGAGCTGTCTGTCCGGCCTGGGCCTGAATCTGGCCCTGAGTGGAAACTCTTGTCTGTGAAGGGAAATACAATTAGCAGAAAAGTTGGCAGACTTCTCAATAACTTCCACAACTTTATGTGAAATCAAATTATTTTTTCATTATCTTACCAGTCTGGCCACCTGCAGGTTGGCTACAGTGGTACCAGTCAGCACTGCTCCAGGTCTGGGTGCTGCCACGGCTGCTAGTTGAGGATTAGCTTGGGCAGCCTGTGCAGGCTGAACCTGGGTGGCCTGCTGGGCCCCTGCAGCCTGCTGGCCCTGGGCTGCTGCTGCTGCCACAGCTGCAGCTACCTGCTGCTGCTGCTGCTGCTGCTGTTGTAGCTGCAACTTATGTTTATGCATCTTTAACAGCTCCTGTATCACACAAAATACGAGATCAAGATAAGTTAACTATTCACATATTTTGCTATTATAACCATTACAATGCAATGTTTATAGGTAAACTCTGAAATGCTGCCATCACTGCAATTATCACAGCTGCTAACTCATATCATCGAACAAAGACAAGCCATAACTTCTGTACATACACATAGTGTTGTATTATGTGTAGCTATTGTGTAAAGCTGTTAGAGGTGTACCTGGGGTTTTCCTACAGCTTTGATCTGAGGGGAAGTAGCCTGCTGTTGCTGTTGTTGCTGTTGCTGCTGTTGGTGCTGCTGCAGCTGCTGCTGTCGGAGCAACTGCAGGTGGGCTGGACTGAGAGGCTTCCCTTGTGGCAACTGCATTCCTGTGGCTGGAAGAAGGACAGCAGACAAATCAGATCCGTACAGAACAGCAACAGGTACTTCAGAATCCTCACAGAAAAGTTCATGTGTCGTTCAGTACCTGATGTGACCTGAGTTACCAGTGGGCGGGTTTGCGACTGCACTGGACTCAGAGTGGTAGAAACTACTGCAGATGCTGTCACTGGGGTAACGGCTCTAACACCCTGACCTGTAGCTATGGCAACCACTTCAGCAGGGGCGGCAGTAGCAGTAACAGCCCTCTGTTGTGCGTGGACCACCTGAGCTCCAGCTGTACCTGCAGGCTGGACCAACAACAATAACAGCAACACAATGAACAAAATTTGTAATACTAACAATGATCACTCTATCTACAGAGTTTGGTGCCAATTTATAGGCTATGTGCATCATTATAAACAAATTCCTATTAGTCAGTAGGTGGCTGAGTTAAGCCAGAGCAGGAGTGATGAGTGAACATGACTCACAGACAGGGTGCCTGGTATGACTGGAGATGCCAGGCGTTTGTTGGCCTGGAAGGGACTTGGCGGAACTCCAGCTACTGTGTTCACAATCACATTCCCCCCTACAGTGGCTGGAAGAAACAAAGAGAAATGAATTAACTACTGGAACACCAACTGCTCTGTAATCTGAACCACATGTGTGTCAGCATACCAGCCTGAATGGTTGTGCCCACAGTGGCATTCTTTATGGCTCCAGCCTGTAAAATATGAAACATATGTGTTTAAACCTTTCACTTGGTAAATGGGTTTGTTTTGGATCTCACTATATGTAAAAGCATATTGGCACAGGATGTTTTGATTCTCACCAGTACAGCTGCATTAGGCACAGCAGCAGTTCCAGTTACAGCGGCTGCCTGAGGGACCTGAGCCTGGCCAGCAGCAGGAGCCTGGGCCTGCCCAGGTGCAGCCTGGGCCTGGGGAGCTCCAGCCTGCTGCTGGGCCAACTGCTGAGCCTTCTGCTGCTCTGCAAGAGCCTGCAAACGCAAACACAAATGATGCACAAAAGCTTACACAAATGCAAACATGTCAGTAATGGTAATAGACACAGACCAGGACCGAGGCCCGATATGTGTTTGTCTGGACTGAATTTTTTTTTTAGTCTTTTGTACTTTGAAAGGAGTGTGCCCTGAATTTTTGGAGATATGATATTTTGGACATATTGCTAGATGAACACTGTACTGTACTTGATTGAAACAACTGCAGTGTAAAAGAAACTATTTCTACCTCTGCCTAACACAAGCATGAAGGTTATTCTTTCAAGTGAAAAACTAAAGCAGCAGATTTCTGTGATTGGCTATGAAAACAGTCATACCAAATGCTGTCTTCATTTGTTGAAATAAGACCTGCATTCTCCTAGCATGGCACAGTGCCTGGATAAATACACAGACTTGAAGCAGCAGAACATTGCTGACAATCACCTTTTTCTCTTTGGCAATCCTTTCAGCTCGTTGAGAAGCCACCTGAATGGGAGGTAGGGGCTTGTCGTAGCTGATCCCACTGTGAAAAGAAAAACATGTTATACCTTAGTTCTAGATTTAAGGTTTAGATATCCATAACACAAAAATGGCATATATCAACATAAAACGCACCTTTCTGCCAAGACCGAGGCATGTTTGGGATTCTTCTGGAATGGATTCATGCCAAGCCTGTTGGTAGTACAAATGAATACATTTACATGGACGTATCCTTCTGTAACTTGATTTCACCATTTTCTTTATCATGCGTGGTCTCTTCATTTCCATTAATGAGAATTTGGTCTACGTCTCTTGCAATAGAACAACTATTATTCAGACACATTTTTAAGTTAAACCAAAAATCACAACATATTCAATAACTCAACAGCTGTTATTCAAAATGGTTTTTTACATACTTTTACAATGGTCATTACATGCAAGTAAAAGCTTTGTTTTTTTAAATTTTTGTTAACTTTTGTTAATACCCTGCTTTGGTACACGCTTCTTGACAAGACTAATGCATTCACTGTAAATGAACACAGGTCAGTACTTACAGTGGTTTAATTGGTGGGCTTCTCTTGCTGGCAATGATCTTCATGAGTTCGAAGCGGCTGTTGTAGAGTTGAATGTGAGTGGCATTGTCATCCTGTGTGTAAATCTGACAGGTCCTTAGAGGACGGCTGTTCTTAGACTGAACACGTGACACAAAAAAGCAGACAGAACAAAAATGAGGGCACTTATTTAGGAGCACAGAAACATTTATCAAATGCAATGACCAGGTGTGTCAGAGTACCTTGTATATGCTCTTGGTTTTCTTCTTGGGGTTTGCCTCATACACCAACTGAAAAAAAAGACATGGTTTAGACAAGTACGAGATGAGTAAGCTAGTTTCATAGCAAAGTAGGGTCACTGTGTTCATTACCTTGCCCTCTTCGCGGGGGATGATGACATTCTCGTAGCGGTTGCGACACTGTTTGGGTGAGCGGTAAATGCGGCTGCAGGAGTTTACTACATCGCTCACTAGATCCCAGTTTGGTGTGTGGGCAGGCGACACGATTGTCAGGTTCAGAGGCAACTCCAGCAGCTGTTTCACAGCCTAACAGACACATAGTAATAATCACTTGTCTCATGAAGCAACATGCAATTCAGCATTTATCAATGTGTATTAATGCTGCTCAGAAAGAAAAATCATGATGGAAGAAGTTAGTAAGGCTGGTACCTGAAGCAGAGCCCAGTCCTCACTGATAAGCCACTCTGGGTTATCCTGTCCAGCCTCCATGGCAGGTTTAACCAGCGATGGCAGGGGCTTGGCAAAGGGTGCCTGCTGCTTGAGGGAGAAGGTCTTTTTCTGGTCCTTGCCCTCTCTGCGAACCTTGAGCATACTGGCCTTCTCGAAAAGGGAGCGTGGAGGAATTACCGTCTCCCCATGGCCCTTTTTCTTCTTTCTGGCTGCTGCTGGACAAACACACTCAAGTGAGGACAGGAAAAACAAACAAACTTGTGACAGAACTTTAGCATGTATCTATTCTTAAAACTCTTTCCATTCATATAAACATTGACTCCAGGATTTACAATTCCTTGTCTGAGAATGCAAAAAAACAAACAAAAAAAACCCCACAAAACCCCCAAAAAACAAAGAAATTCTCAAAGGAAATATCCTTGATATAGGTGAATAAAAATGTATTGTATCTAAATACCTTGCAGACAGAGTGGAATTGAAATATTGTTATACAATTAGCCGATGCCTTAATGACAAATCTCTGACCTGAGGGGTCCATCTTGAGTCTCTTATGCTCCTTGCGGATGTAGATAGGAGGCAGCTTGGATTCTGGCATGGGTGTAGTGTCGTACATCAGCATCATCACAGAATCAATGTAAATGTCATTGTCGTCCTGTGGTGGTGTGGGTGGAGTCCAGAGCTGTATTGGAAAATCATAAGTCATAACGAGGTCAGAAGACAGAGTTGGACTTTATGTTGTGCTTTCATACTAATAAATGTAATTCAGAAAAGAATGTGAGAGATCCAAATTCCACACAACCTTGCATATAATACAAAAATAGACCAGTTCAAAATCCATAGTTGCTAGTGAAAACATGATGAGTAATTCCATTGTTCATCCCATTCACATCACATTTGGAGTCTTACCGGCATTATTTCTGTATGACCATCCTCTGCATCGAACACATACTCCTGTTGAAGAGCACAAAAGGCTAATGTCAACAGCAGCACAACACAAACCACACACTCCTTGTTTGATTAGCAGAGATCAAAATGGCCACCCACCATGTTGTAGGCATCCTCTCTAGTGTAGGTGAAGAGATCTTCATCTCCCTCCATCACCTGCCGCTCCTCCTCCTCCTCCTTAAGCTTCTGCAGCTGCTGCAGCTCCCAGCCTCTCTTAGAGCACTCCAATTGCTCCTGTGGAATATAAACAAAAAACATGTATCAGCCAGTCAAATGTATCAAAGGACAATTAGTGCAATGGAATTCCATAGGATGGACTGATGGACTACAGAAAATCTCTAAATATATACATCGAATCTCTAAAATCAAAAATAAGTCTTGGCTACATTACAGTTTACGTTACCTTGAGAGCTGTTTCATCGTCACTGATGTGGAGGTACTCCAGATAATGAAGGGCATATCTTTCAATAGGTGTTAGCTGTGAGTGGGAAAAATATAAACTCAGCAGGGAAAACTAGCATTTCATTTTATTTTGATTCACTGCTTCTAATTTTAATTTTTAGCTTACACCAGCTTCCAAACAATATAGATAAAAAAAAGAAAAGCTACCTGTTCCATGACTGCATTCAGCTCCTCTATCTGAGCCGGCTCTTCTTTAGTCTGACCCTCTGATTCCTTTTCACCCTCTGTCAACTCCTTGGCTGCTAACTCCTCCTGCTGCTGCTGCTGCTCTTCCTCCTCTGGCAGAGCATCCAGGTTTATGCTGTGGAGAGCCTGGATGTAGGGTCTTGCTACTCTGGGAGAGATGGCTTCAGAGGCTGACGGCTCCTGGTGAAGTACCACAAACTCCTCCACCTTTTCCCCGGAGCCTGCCTCCACTTCAAATAGGTCCTGGATTGTCCGCTACAAACACACAATATTATGTCAGTTAATTTATATACTTGGCTGAATAAAACTACAGTTACGGGTCTTATTTTCAAATGAAAACTTTACTGGTTCTTGCACAAAGGTCTTCAATAGTTTCAATAACTGCAGCTTTACGGAACTAAAAAGAAAAGAGGTGTGACGCTGAGGTCATCTTACTTGTGTGAGGAAAGCCAATGTGTAGTCAGTCCCCTGGGCAGCTACCTCTCTAATCAAGTCCTTGGTGCCATTCTTCAGCAGTTTCTCTTCAATGGAATTCCCGCTCTCCAACCTTGAATGATACACAAAAAAAATAACATCATTGTTTGGAAGGTATGGGTTGTATCTCGTGTTTTACTTTGAATGGATTAAGGAATACAAAATTAAAGGCATCGACAGATTTCCCTGTACTAACATACCTGTATATGTGTATATCCTTGGAACGCCCTATTTTGTCACACCACTCCTGGGTGCGGGCGTCCATGCTGGGATTGAGGTCTGTGTCGTAGAAGATGATGGTGTCTGCGTCAAACACAGTCCCGACTGCAGAGCAGCAGCGGTTGGTCAGGATGCTGCAGAACACCTGCCTGTTCCTGTTAAACTTCTTCATATTCTCCTGCAGGTGCACAACACCAAGCACATGAACAGAGTGGGACAAAGGCCAGGAAATAAGTTGCTTACAACACACTTTCTGCAACATAGAGATCCATTATCGTCTGTTTTTAGGCGACTGCTGTGACCGTTTAGTTATCTGTATCATCATTTTCTTGTATCAACAACAGGTCTAAGCAACTGACCCAAAAACAAGAGGGATTACATTGCAGTAAATGGGTTTGTTAAAATCAGGTCCAGATCATTTAAGATTTTAATTTGTCAGTTTAAGCAGAGCAGAAACATTTCACCACTCGAAATAACATGCAGCAACAAACAGACAAAAAGAACTACTGTCTGCTTCTCTTAGGGCCCCAGAAGGAACACAATCCAGCAGGGAGGGAAGAGAGCAAGATAGTTTGTCCCCTTTTTGAGCTAGAACTCTGCACGGACACTGGGAGGTCCTAGTGTTAGATAGGGAGGTACACAAAGCCTATACGTGGCTGCATCATTGCCTTTCACAGTAGCTACTATTCTAATTATATGCATCATTTCTAGTGTCACAAGAGTATATTTTTTTGAACAGGTAATGCTGAATTAAATTCAGCGATGACACCTGTTTTAAGCATTGCATGTCAGAACCAAATTAAATAGTGATGTCATTTTACCTGTCTTTCATCAAAAGTGAAGCTTTCATCAATGCGCACATAAGTGAGCTGCCTGTAATCTAGGAAGGCCTCCAGGATGTCTAGCATCTTCACCATCTGAGTAAAGATGAGGACACGGCGACTCTCTGACCTAAGCTTCTGCAGCAGAATGGCAAGAGCTTCCAGTTTACCTTAGGAAAAGAAAAATGTCAAGAGTTATCATTCGTGGCATTGTCAGATGTCAAGTTGACTTCAACTGCAGGCGGGTTAATTACATATAGTTGTACGGTAACCACAACTATGTTTCCCAAGAAAACAGTCAACTGAGATAGAAAGGATGAAATACGTGCAGGTTACCAACAATATTACTATGATTGAGAATGCTACAGACTTTTTTTTTTTTTTTTTTTTAACAGTGCCTATCTCTAAAGACTGAACACATACATGTGAACACTGTTTATTTTATATTATCGCTACATTATATTGTGTACACACCCCTGCATTTACAGTGTCCAAGAGATGGGAGGATTCATCCATCTTGTGTCAGCAGAAAGATTTTTTGTTTTTCTTGCATGCAGTACTTGATTAGCAAGTCATGCTGTAGTTATCTGTAGATGTATGTATTTGTTTTACAGTCTAAGCTGGTTATTGCTTGCTTGCAAAAACCCCCACAAAAAACAAACAACAAAAAAACACCCGTACCTGAGTCCATCTGCATTAGTTGCAAGTCTGGATAATAGAAAAGATGCCTGGATGCTAACTGGTGGATGTCTGCACTGTGGGGTGCAGAGGCCTCCAGTAGCCGGCGGTGAAGGGACTTCTGCTCAAGACTGTAGGGAACTGGGGGATTGGCTGCATACAGATGAGGCAGTGGAGCTACAGCTGGAGGCACCACACATGCCAGTCTAAAAGATAACAACAGTCAACACCGATAGGTAATACATGTGCATCAATCATTATTTGGATTAAGAAATAAAACGTTGAACTGCACTCATGAAAGTTGTCAACTTCTTTTAAAAAAATTGGTAGTTACTTTAAATATTACTTAGAAAGTGTTTGCTTCACCTTACCCTTTAGTTTTAGCAATGTTATTACCAAGTGACCTAACCACAGTGAATTAACTTTTAATAACAGTATTGCAGTGTAGAATACGAGCAGTATAGAATAAAGAAAGCTTTAATACTGAGTTCTCAGCTCCAGTACCTATTGATTAGGCTGTTGGAAGCCTCCAGGTGATTCTTCACAGAGAGCAGAGAGGACTGCAGTGTAGAGGTGGTAGCCACGCAGGTTCTTTGGGCCCTGAGGCAGCTCTCTCTGCCCACCCACCTCCAGCCTCCAGCAGTCAGGGCAGTATGACCAGGCTCTGAGCTCAAAGTGCACGCCTGCAGCAGGTCCGACCCATACAACACTCTACGGCTACAGCGTTGCTCATTGGCCTCGAACAGGCGGCCCAAACGCTCCTTCAGCTGTTGAGTCTTTTCTTCTGAAGACTCCTAAAGATCACAGTGAGAAAAGCATAATCACAATTTCTGTAAAACATTTGGATGAAAAATGAAGTAAAGCACAAAACCAGGCATTATAAACGTGATTTCACTAGAGTGAATGTACTGACCTGAGAACCACCATGAGCTGCAGTAGTAAGCTTGGTCGGGGCGGATGTGGCGTTAGTCGCACCCAATGCTTTAAAGGAAATATACAGATCAAACAGGAGAATAAGTGCTACCAATTTAGAAAAGCAGCACTACTACAAAATGTCAGTGATAAACTTATTGCACAGTTACAGAGGTGTAGCTGTGTACCCATATGAGCATTTTATGTCACACAAGAATGTATTACCTTTCAGCATTATAAATACAGAAGATGAGTGCTGGGTGGTATTAGCAAAATAACTGCTTAAAAGACAGAGATAGTAATGCAATATGTTTACTGTGAATGACTCACCTTGCTGAGCTGTTGACAGGGCAGGATGAGGTGTGCCAGGTGTAGTTGAAGCATTGGAGGCAGGAACAGCTTGAGGCATTGTTTGCATTACCATGGATCCCTGGGGCCTAATGATCTGCTGCCCTGGAGCTGACACAATCTGCAGGATGTTGCCTGTATTCATGACACATAGTGAACAACCAATTAGGAGGTGCCTTCACGGAAAGTAACACGGGCTAAAATTTTGTGTGTGAAAAAAAAAACGTGTTATCAGAACTGATGAGTGATAAGACAGAAACAGCAGTAGATGGAAATTTAAACAAAAGATACTGACAAACTATCTTTAAAAGCTCATTATAATCTACAACACTGAAATTAGCATTTGAACATATTCAACTTAAATCCTTAGAAAACCTTTTTTTTTTTTTGTACATTTGGCTTTTATTGATAGCTGAAAAAGGCACACTGCGGCATCCATAATTGTATACTATGGTCTGAAAGTGGATCACACCTGTCCTATAATTTTTCTTAAAAAAAGCAGGCAAATAACACTGAAATGGCAATGGATCATAAAGGACGGATGGAAGAAAATTACGTGGAGAGAAAGTGTGACAATGGGATGTACATTACCGAGTGTACCTTGGAGCTGCAAGGGCTGCCCAGTGGTGAGCTGGCGGAGCTGACTAGGGGACAAAGTGAACTTGTTGCCCTGAAACTGCAGAGTGACAGGAGTCTCTGGCTGGGAGATACGATTCTGACTGCCTGCTATGTTGGCCAGTTGTGCGATCTTCACCACATCTCCACCTTTAATGGAAAGAAAGAACATATTTTATCAAGGATAGAGTTATAAAGTCTCGTTACATTTCTACAGTTAAAAAAAAAAACAACTTTATTCTTAGTTAGTTAAAGGGTGAAAAAGAGACAAGACATGCAGACCCAGGGTGGATTAATCAGTGGAGCGAGCACAGCTCCTCTCCATGACAGAATAGTAGTTGCTCCTACTTTAACAAACCCTGAAGGGTGAAGAAAATGGCTATAAGGGCAGTCCTCGGGTGAGACAGAGAGCCTGAAACATAAAGCACTGTACTTCACTGCTTTTTCGAGGCAACACACTGGTCACCAGAAAGTTCAGTTAGGGACTGGTGTCAAAAAATGGTAGTCGTGGAACACTTATTTGTGTTTTTTTCATGACAAATGATATAAGTCACTGGTTTACCCTTTTGAGCCATTTCTGATGAAGCAATGCACTCATTTTCAAATTGGAAAATACATGTGAACTTGTGAAAATGTGAACTTATAAACATTGTCACTGCATTTTTCGAATTGACAATATAATTCTTTGATTTTACATTGACATTTTATGTTTTTTAACCTAAGCAAATCTTAGAGCTAAATCCCAGGAAGCTCATAGTGAAACTGTGTAACCACACATACTAGACTTTAGAACAAATTCATATTATACATTACAGGTATTCACTATGTGGTGTGTTCAAAAACCTCATACAGGCAGTGGACTTTGTGGCAGTACTGTGCCAATTTTAAGAAACACAAGTTTTGTATGTTATCAAAAAGTAGTACATTTAATACTTAAAAAAAAAAAAAAAAATTCTAAATTGTGGTATCATTAGTCCTGCAGCAATCATAGAAAAATATTTAACAATCTGTGTGACAATCATGGCGCCATTCTGTGCTGTTTAAAGCAGTGGCAATACACATAGCAAAAATTTCCAAGCTGTGGATGATGTAAATTTGTCTGGATATATTAGCTTGGATATACTTCCGAATTTAATTCCATTAAATCCCAAATTGCAGTTCTGCTCATTTGTTTATATACCCTGGCAGAATTTATTAAGATGTGTAGGCGACCATTCTTCAAACACGAGTGATCAGGCAAAACACATATATTCTTAATGGGACATCTATTTAACTATTACTAAAGCATCACAGAATAGAACAATTACTGAACAAAACACAGAAATACAGAAATTATTGAGAATACTGAAAATACTATTGCTCACTTAGTTCCTATTATTCTCTGTTATACCTTTTTGCATCAGTAATGATCAACTGACATCCCTTCATCTATTTTAAGCAATACACCACTTAAAAGAAACCCCTTTAGAAACAGAAACCAATATGTGTTGCATACTGGCATTGTGGTTAAGAGTTAAAATCAATTACTAATGGCACTGTCTAGACTTTAGTTAATACTAAACAATTACAATAGGATGAAGAGTATGTCGTTAGCCTGCCAGCATTGACACTATTTGTTCATGGTACTTTGCAAATCTGTCTGTAGACTTTTAACCTAAAAACCTGCAAACTGCATAGTATAACCACAGTCTAACCTGCTGGTCACTGAGCAGCTCTAAAGAAGCCACTGGGAATGAGGACCTTGTCTGCACAGTGGTGTTGATGAGGGAGAGGAAAGTGCTTTGTTGTTAGTTTCCCATCCAGATATTGTTCTACTTTAAACTGGTGACCGTCAAGTCATAAATTTATGTTTACAAGGCACAAATTGCCAGTTAGTGGGAACAAGATGTGTACAAAGTTGAGTAAAAGTACCACTAATACACCAGTTCGTGCGTAAATCATCAGAAATTTCACTTGAAGTCTGCTAGGCCAAAAATGATGTTGAAAATATATTTACTTGATAAAAATCACATTCAAAATGTCTCAGCAATCTTGGTTCCAACACACAGGGTTGGAATTTAAAAAAACAAAAAAGCAAAAAACAAATATTAAGATAATTCTCACAAAACATGTTTAAATTTTACATGTTCAATTATTGTGTGTTGTCACTAAAAAGGTTTCTCTGTTCACATGTGAGGCTGAAAGGGTTTTATAATCTGTGCAACCATTTCCACATGCTGTGCAGTGATGCCCAAGGTCAGACTGACAAAATGACAATAGAAAAGAAAAAACAAAACAAAACAAAACAACCAAAGCTTTGGGATCTCTTCCTGCAGCTGGGCTGATGCAAGAGACAAAAGAATATTAGTAAACTGGGAGAAAAAAATGATTAAAAAGAAGGGGTAGGACATAATAATTTAGTTAAACAGTGTTGTGATGTGAGGTGTAACATAAGTGGGTCATTCATAGTGTACATGCAGGTTTTTAAGAAAGAAACTGGGGAATACTGAGCCGTTGGAGATGCTGCTGATATGGCTACAGATCGAATTTTAAGGGACCTTTTCCCCCTCCATGAGTCGTTTTAATATTGATTCATGATATTTGACCGTAATTGCGGCTCCACCAGTCCTGCTGCCAGTGCATGTACAAAACCATTTCTCTGGAGAAGTGAAGACTTAACACATATCAGCAGTGCCTCAAGTGAAGGCCTCAGTGTAGAGCAGCCTGTACTTTTGTGCCAGAGTGGAGGGGAAATGCTGAGACGGAGGGGAGGGCAGGCCACTTACTAGGCAACCGTGCCTGGGCCTGGGATGTAAGAACCAGCCTCTGGGACAATAAGCTGGGCTGGATGGCATGGCTGGGGGCTAGGGCTGGCCTGGGGACCTGTGTTAATCCAGGCTGGCTGATGGGAGCCACAGATCCCACAACTGTGCCAGCTAAGGTCTGGCCCAAAGCCACAGGGGCAGCCCCCAACACATGCTGCCCAATGCCACTGTTCCCAGAGGAGGCTACAGTGGAGGCTGCAGTGTTGTTGCTGTTGCTGACAGGAGGGGTAGCCTGGGCTCTCAGAGTAGCTGTTCCAAGCGCTGTGAAGTACAAGGCAATGGGGCATGGGGCTCCATGTTAGGGGTAACCCAATATTTAGTCAAATCAGTACGATCAAACAGTTTTCTCCATATATTCACTCAGCAGTGGTGGGCCAACACAGCAAGCATAATTATAGATGTTATCGATGTCAGTGATAGATTAATCACAGCTCACAATCTGACTGCTGAAAAATATTAGGGGGTGTAATGGTATGTATATTGGTCCCAAGCTGTTCCAACATATGAGATAAAATAGATAGGAGATTTGAGTGTGGTACAGCCTGCGATCCAATTGTTTATGTCCTAAATGAAAATACTGGTGCATGAGCTCCACCTGGAGCGTTTTGGCAGTGCATCAGTTGCTATATATCAGCTATAACAAGTTAGCAGGGCTAGCCTTGAAAGCGGGGCGGACACTGTGGTTGTTATTAATCTTTGTCTTGTACAGTGTACAAACTCACGCCACACATTGAATCAACCTTCCTGCACAGCCAGAACCTGCAATGTCTTTGCTTACACTATATTAAGGTGAGCTTTTACAGGATTGAATTTCCCTTCTGGGATGAATAAAGTATTTTTCATTTCATTTCATTCATTTCATATAGGTTAATCGACAGGCCACCATGTGAAGCTCACACTTCGTGTGAATATAAAAAGCCCCTCCTCGCTGTTGTCTGGTTACAATTCCTAGTCTATTCAAACTGTAGGGCTGTATCCTCAGTGCTGACAGCAATGCTTTGGCTTTGATGGTTAGTATAATTATAAATTGATTATATGAATTTGTCTCCATGGACATTTCTTGAATTATGTATTTTATACGTCAAGTAACAGAACAAGTCTTTTCTTTTTTTGGCTGTTTACAGCACTTGAATACCTTTGTTGACAAATTAGATTTCTTTCACTTATTACTTTTGTTTTCTCTCCTGTACTGTAAAATGTACAACACTGTGATTCCAAAATCGGGCTTCATAACAAATTCTGAATTTGTGTACAGTTTCATCTCTACAAATTATATTACCTTACATAAACAAAGCTGGTCTGATATTAACAGTGAATCTATAGAAGATTGATTCCATCTGTGTGGGTGTATTAAGCAGCAGCCAAACTTTACTCAAACTGCAGCAGGGTAACTTTTGCCTCCAGCTCTTCATCTGACAAATTTACTATAGGTATTACGTCTTTATCACCACTTGCATAATGTATCCATTAATGTTTTTAAATCAGCAGCAGCTGCTAAATAACATAGTAATCACTACAGACTGACTTGTAGCATGGAAAGCTGTAGCAGCTTTGCACTAAAAGTGTTGCATTTAGCCTTATCCTAACAGCTGTGCTGCAAGTAGGAGAAAACAAAGTCGCCAACCCACCACTGCTGCACGGAAAGTATACATTTAACACATGAAACCTCTATGACCAGTGACACTTGCTAGGGAAAGTCTACTTTCCATCAAGTTGTAAGAGTAACCTAACTTTTTAAACATTGCAGTATTGTGCATAAATATGTACACACAGTACATGTTATATTTTTAATTATAATGTGCAAAATATGACTGTATAGGCACAGGATTAATATTTTTTTAAGCATGACATAGACTTGGTTTATTTCAGTTCAAAAGAGCAACTCAATCATGCAGCATAACACTGTATAAGACTGCATACATCACACGCTTTAAACTAGCATAAGCATGTTAGGTAAAAGCATGAACAAAACAACTATGGGAAGTGAAGTTTTTTTTTGTTTGATTGGTACACCATCGGGACTCCTCTGGCCACTGTGAAAGCCAAATGTCCTGTACTGCCCCTGAAATGGACTTACCATGAGAAGTTGGTGTAGTCGTTGCTGTAGTGACAGGGGACTTGCCCCTGGTCTGGCCAGACTGAGTGGTTGTGGAAGGAGAGGCGGTAGTAGCTGGACCGCTTGTTGGAGGACGCTGACCTGCTGCATTTGTGATAGCAGCAAGGCGACCTTCTGGCTTTGTGCCATACTGCACTGGCTGGAACAATCTAATCAGAAAAAATGGGCATATTGTGTCAGCACCTGAATATGAATGTTACAATTCAAATGCATTTTAAAACTTCTAAGGATCTTCAATCAACCATGTCAAGTTACAAAGTGCTTGGAGATTGTATTGCTGACCTCATGGGTTTTATCGGACATGGTTTTGGTCTCGGGGGTGGATCTGGACCGGTGTAGATTTCCTCTATGAGCTGCTGAGTGACCTTTAGTTTGGGCACTGCCTCTTCAGTCTGATAGCGAGTCAGTCTGTTCTCATTATTGATCAGATCAAATATGGACAGGTTTGCTATCTAGAAGGACAAAAACAATGAAAGGGAATAAATGTAGACTGATCATGAGTGTAATACATTGCAACTAAAATAACAAAAACAAGGTTTAAGGTCCAACACAGACGAATTACATAATAGAAGACAAAAATACAACAATAGAATAACAAATAAAAGTCCATCAAACTCTAAAAAGGGACTACAGTGTATTCAGCTACCTATAAACTACCAACAATGCTATCACTGAAGATCACAATGCCAATCATAAGTTGCTAGATCTTAAAGTGATAGTTTTTTTTCTATCCAATTACACTAAAAACCCAAGGTATCCACTTGTAATATCATGAACATAAAAAGACAAGAAATCTGAGCAACACCCAAATACGTCATACTCGTACTTTGACAAATGACAATTACGCATTTATCAAAATGGTCGTGATGGAATCATTTTCAGTTCATCAACTAACTGATTATTATTATTTGCAGTTATATTCATTGCATTTGCCAGGGTGACGAAAGCACAAGTATATACCTTGCTTGAGTCATTTTGAAGAGCACCCAGCACCAGTGATGGTACGTTGTATTGCAGGGAGGAACAGAAATACGAGCTGCTGGTCTCTCTGGGTGCAACCAGCTCTGGATGGTTACACACTCGCTGTAACTGCATTAAGACCTGAAGCACGCTGACAAAATGACCGGTCTTCAGTGCCTCCTGAGCACTAAGGGAACACACGCAAACAGCAAACATGAGTATCGATTATGATTAATGGCATTTTAAAAAAAGAACATATTAAAAAAAATAAACCACCAACATTACCAAAAATGTACACCCTGACACATTACACTGTATCTTTCCCCCTCAAACAAAGTTGACAATAAAAATCTCCCTCAACAAAGAAAATGTGTGTGAGGAAAAAAAGATAACTACAGAAATTTTGATGATATATTTGGTAAAAAATAAATGGGATAAATGTTACACAGCCACAAAACATAATTGGAATCATGTTTAAAGCACTGTCCATTGATTCATCTGTAAATTTCATACAATCCCCAGATTTACAGTATATTGTGCAAATTCCATTTTTCACCTGATTCATCTATCTTTATACTATGAAAGATTACTCTAAGCGCAAACTATCCTTGTGGGGAAATCAGCTCACCCTGGTTGAGTTAGGATATCCTCGTAAAGACTCTTCTGTCTGCTGGACAGGCGGCATTTTAGAATGTGCTCGTACTTCTTGGGCAGCTGCTTTTCCACATCTCTTTTGGAGCGCCTCAAGATGAAGGGTTGGATCATCTACAGATCAGAGAAGAAGGGAGTTTTATATGTGATGTGCAATTAGGAACTACAAGGGAAGCCCATCAATCAGGTGGCACAGTAAATGAACAGAAGAATCCGCAGTGCTATACTCACCCTGTGCAGGCGGATGACCAGTTTGTGGCAGTAGTCTTGGTTCTGGTCTGTGCCTGCCTTCACAGGAAAGTCAGAGTAGGACCTGGTGATCCCTGGCAAAAGGAAGTGGATCATGGTCCACAGCTCCTTGAGAGTGTTCTGTAGAGGAGTGTTGATGAGGAGAACCCTCTGCTCACTGGAAAATGCACAAAATATGCCCATTACTCAGTGAGCCAAGTCTTGATTTAAACCTCCAGCAAAATAACAAGTGATTTCACAGAAACAGACAAAAATCCCTTTCATGGAAATGATCTCATCAGTGAAATCATTTTGCCCCAAACTACTTGCACATTGGCACATATGTATGTGTCACTCCCTTAAGACTTTTTATGTTACTGACCATAACACAAAAAACCACACTAACCATGATCCACATTACAAATTACAAATAACAAACTTGAAAAGGAGAATCTGGCATTAAAATATTAAATTGTTCTAACATACTTTAAAATCAATCCATAAACAGATAGAACTTTATTGATCCCTTTGGTAGAACCTCAGGGAAATTGTTGTAAAATCACCCAGCTCACCTTTTCAGACCAAAGATTGTTTCCCAGTGTTTCTCCGTCATGTTTTTGATGAGTTGCACCTCGTCCAGAACCAGATGCCTCCACTTTCTCTTCAGAAAATGGCTCTGGTCTTTCATCAGCAACTTGTAGGATGTCACGCATACATGGAAGCTATTGGCTTCTCCCCACCACTGTAGATCAGTGATCAGATATGTTATTACATTAATAGCCACTGACTGGGGAGAAAAAAAAAAGTTTACATTGAGTAATGTCAAAAACTGTGTATTTAAATACAATGAAATTACCATTCTCTTAGATCTGCGCTCCCTTCTGTTACCAAGGTACAGGAGGATCTTAAGGCCAGGACACCAACGCTTGAACTCCACCTCCCAACTTAGTAATTTGCACGTCCTAACTACAATAAGATGCGGTCCCCAGATGCCTGTGGACAAAAACAGACCACATCTCAGTGATATTCAACTTCTAAAAATGAGACTAAAGTTCACTATTAAAAAAACAATCCTGTATGTCTGCGAACTCAAGCATACCTTCTTGGCCAGCTAAGTGGGCCATGTAAGCCACAGTCTGTACAGTCTTCCCAAGGCCTGTCTCATCAGCTAATATGCCATTGAGGTGTTTCTTGTAAAGGTTCACCAGCCAGTCAACACCAATTTGCTGATACTCTCGCAGTGACCCATGCAACAGAAACGGAGCTGGGCTGCGGTTCTAGTAAAATGAAAAATCAGTTAAAAACATGATAAAAATGCATGTTTTATGTTTATATGTGTGAGGTTTTTCATGGGTCTTACTGATGAAGTGGTTCTGAAGCTGCCCTTGGGCAGGATGAGCTCTGTGGCAGCAGCTACTTCAGCTATGTCTCTGCCAGGCTTTCCATCAGAGTCTGAAGAAGTGGCTTTGTCAGCACCACGATACTGGTCCACACTAAGCAGGGAGTCAATCAGCACAGCCTCAGGCGGACTGCCTGAAGGACATTCCATTTCTGAAAACAAAGAAGGTGAACTATTTTAGTCACATCATTCACAACCATTAGCTAAGAAAAATTTGGATGAACATGACAGTTTCATTTTTTGATGACAAAGGCACCTTCAGTTTCTTCCATTTCATCGTCATCACTACAAGGACTAGGCTGAGGCCACTCAAAGCTGTCAGCATAGGCACCAGCATACTGTTTCATCAAAGCATCCAGAGGCATCTCAGCTACAAATCAAACAAAAAACATGTGAGGAAGCAATACAGAAACAAAGACAAGTAATTCTGATACATGTATGGCATAATTATGGAAGCAGTTAATAATGCAGTATGGTATAATAATTTGCTTTTGTAATTTGTTAGGAGTATATAATTATGTTTTGCAAACAAATATTATAGCAGAGAGAACCAGAGGACCACACACAGATTCTTAGCTTTATGCTGAATAAAAGCCCAAAATTCTCAGTTCACACTGCTATTAGGGTCAAACAGGAGCAACAGATTGAAAATTACTTTTTATATATCTTCAAATCACACAAGGTACCCTGTAGCATATTTATATCATTCAGTAAGCAAGATTTGACCTGTACAAAAGAAGAGCCAACAGTCTATCAGCAGCACTGCTACCTGTCTTCTCTTCACACACTGTAGCACCATCTTGTGGTCAAACCAAAGCAAATCAAATCAGTCAAAGGAACAAACTAAAAATCTATTTCCAGTTGAATTATCACCAAACTGTATCAAAGGAAACAGTATCTTTGACTTATGTATCTAAAATGCTTTATGTTTCAAAAGCAAGCAGATTTAGATTGCTATGCTGCATATTTCAATTTACTTTCTCAATGCTATGACATAGACTGGAAGTTATTCAGCAATGTTCCAGAAAATGAAAAAGTGTGTTTTATTACATCCTGTCACCTGCTAGTGCCTCTATGGATTAAAATATGAATTTTCAATTGCCACCGTGTCTTCCTGACTGATAACAAATTGCACAGCACCACTGGTGGAAAAAATACTATCAATCACAGAGTACAAGACTTATGCAATTCTCAAATCCCTGAGCTGCTCGAACTACACAACAATCTCTCCTCTATCTTACTTCTGACACTGTGTTGATGAAGGCATGAGCTTAAATGTTGGGCTATAATTTCATGTTAATGCTGTCTGTAGAAAAAGTTTTTGTCTATAGTCTACATCTAATTCTCATTCATTCAAAAGTTTCGACCCCACCATTTCCTTCCTAAAATGCCACAGACATCACCAAAACCCCACCTGAACATACTATATGTGATTCACAAATTAATATCATACAAATCAATATCTTCCCCTGATTCATGCCGCTGGACATATGCTTAGAAAAAGGGATGAAAGAAAGTACCGTCTTTAGCGAGGTCAACCAACTCTGCTTTGTGGTCTGTTTCCCCTTCCATGCCCTCCTGCTCCTCTATGGTGCTTTCTTCATCTGCGACATCAAGTAAAGACAGTCTTTAAACATACGTCTTATTATTTCTTTTGGCATATAAACCTTAATTGTTTGACACATACCATCTTCATCAACCATGGACAAACTTGATTTTCTTTTTTTAGCTGAAGAGGCCACCTCCTAAAAAATACAACAATATATATGTACAGTCATATCTGGGATGCAATATGTGCTTGTCCATTGCTAGTCTTTTGTATGTTAGTATAGCACCTACCTCTTTATCAGCTTTCTCTCCTGCTGATGAACCACATGCTAAAATGAATAAGGAAATAATATGAAATAAGTTAATTTAAATACAAAAAGGTTTTAATAATAAAACAGTTACAGGTGAGCTGACTCAGCACAGTTCTTTGTATTTTTAGTAGATTATTTGGACGTACCTTTGGCTGAGGCTTTTTGTAAGCCAAGTGCTTTGAGCCTCTTCGCATAAATTTCAAACTGAAGTTTAATTTCAACAACCTGACAAAAAAAATCTCATTTAGATTGGCAAAACCACATTTATGACATTTTAAGAAGATATTAGACTCAAATAACTAACACATACTATGAACAAAAACAGAAACGCAGCATGTAGTATTTTAACACATTTTTCTTTTTTTTAAACATAGGGAAATAATTCTATCTACTCTCAAAGTCAGTAACATGTGTGTCCACTATTCTTGCATTGTGTAGAATATTATCCACTCTTCCTGAGGGGCTTAGTGAGGCTGACATAATAAACAGTTTGAGGGACAAGATGTCATTGTCAGACGCATCCATCCATCCATTGCTGTCTTAAACGATTTCTTAAACATCACATGGTGGAGCTGTGGACATTCAAGTTCCTGGCTACGGCCCTAACTGACACACCAGCATCCAGTGTACCAACCGCCCACTCTTGTCTTTCTCTTATCATCTGTGGAAATGTGTCATTTAAAAAAGGCTGCATTTTAAGGTGGCTCTGTACAGTCACAGGTCACAGAAATGTCCAGGTACTGGTCACGCTATCTGATCATTGTCCAATAAAGCTACACTTGACAAGGGAGCAAATTAACTAAATGCTCAGGAATTTGTCACTAGCTAAATTTAACGCTTTCACAAGCATTACAACAGAAATAAGATAGCTTTTTTCTTTTCTCTAATTCAGAAGAAAGACCGTGTACATGCTGAGTTTCCATTTTTTGTTGAGAGAACATACATACTTGCTCAATGTTTGACCAGAAGAATTCAACCTCTCGGGCAATTGTGCTTGCAATGTGACGAAGATGAACTTCCCTTTCTTTCTTTGATCTCTCTTCACTTTTCTTCTGCTCTTGATGGTAACGGGCACATGTGCGAACAAGCTGTAGCAAAGGCACATGAGACAATGTCGCTTTTAATTAGACATCAGTGTCTTTTCTTTTTCTTGTGCCAATCTATGATTTAAAAGTTTTGCAATGTATTGTGTCTGTCATACCTTCTTAGCGGCAGCCTCCTTCCATCTTCTCTCCTGAGCAAAGTCAGCGGCCATCCACTGCATCTCCTCCAGGAGGTAGTCCCAGTGGGACTTTGGACGTGAGGCTTCCACAAGCTTGGGGAGTCTACTGGCTGACCACTGGCCCTCCTTCCTTAAGTCAGAGATACGTTGATGCACTTGACTCTCCTGGAAAATAGAAAGAATAGTAATCCTTATTTAATTTGGTCTAATTAGAAATCTTACTCAATAAGTTTAAAAAACAGAACAATACACACAAGCAGAACATATAATAAGAATGAAAGTAACAGACATCATTGGGAATGATCACTGTGTTATTATATATCAAAAGTTATGTAACTATGAGAAATATAAAAGTAAGCATATTTGCTTTAATTAAAAAAAAGGAAAAAAATGCAGAAAGTACAAAAGATTTTATGCAACAAATAGATGTAACCATGACACCCAAGCCACTGAATCTCTTACAGGGAAGATCTGTTATTAATTTCAGACATCTGTACTGAAACCAAATGTGCTTAGGGAACTCACCAATTTGGCCTGCTCGATTTGCTTATCTTGAGAACCCTCCTGGGAGGATTGCATGGCTGTACTTTGACCAAAGCCACCTAATTTGACGGCTGATATTCCATTGGTTCCAGTCAGTTTGGACTGGGTGCTTGGGTTGAGGTTGGAACCAATAGGACGGAGAGGGCTTGCAGTATGGGGGGTTGGAACAGAGTTGGGAGCAGAGAGGGGAGCAGGAGACAAGGATGTAATTGATATAGAGTTGGTCATAACCCTCTGAACTGGCTGGTTTGGCTCCGTACCAGGGCGAGCAAGGGCCACCGTCTATGGAGAAGCAAGAGAAAAAAGTTCTTAATACAAGATTTTCAGTATAACCATTTTGTTAGTAACATACACAAAAACAGAATCTATAAGGCTTTACATAGACTGACCGCTTGTCCTGACTGTAGAATGGTCTGGGATTGTTGCTGTTGGGGCTGCAACTGGAGATGAAGACCTGGCTGCATCTGCTGCTGCAGTTGGGCTTGGAGCTGTGTGTGGGGGTTCACTGTGGCCAGGACAGGCCCACCTGCCTGCACTTTCACCTGTGCCTGGAGCTGAGCAGCAGGCTGAGTTGTATTCTCCACTAACTGAGGCTGCTGTGAAAGTGTAATAGGCAGACCTGCCATAGGGAGGGCACCTTGAGGCAACCTTCCAGGCAGCTGGGGTGGAGGGGTGTGCAGGCTGGCTGCATTCTGCACTGGAGGTCCTTTGGATGGGTCGTACTGTTGCTGGTTCTGCTTCTGTCCAGCAATCTGGACTGCTTGAGGAGTAGGCGGCATCCCGCCTGTATACATTGTAACCAACGTATGGGACAAAGGGGTGGTATAGAAAGGAAAACTGTGAAAAACCAAGTTGTTACTCTTGTCATTTAAAGTGCTTTAGAAACGTCTTTTGTGCTCTTTCTAGACTTAAAAAGTTTTAAATTGCTATTAAGTGTTCAGTAGCGTTCCCTTTGTAATCATTTGAGAGACCCCTCTTAAGAAGTTACATATTTTGCATCTAATGAATAGATAATAAAATTGTACTTTAACATTTGAAATGACTGTTTGAGCTTCAGCTATTACAGCTCCTTATAACCTTCCCTCAATGAACTGGAAGTACTGTATTTATCAACAGTAGTGTACTACTTCCTGATGATCAGAGCGGAAACTAATGAAACTCATACAGCAAAATGATTACAGAAGAAATGAAATCAATATGAGAATCTACATGTCTCTCAAATAAAATACTACTTTGATTAATGCAAAACCAAAACATTGCATTTCAAATGTTGAGAGAATGTGGTTAAAAACATCAAAAATTTTACATGCAATAAGAGAGGTTTTAGAGAGAAAATAGAAATGTTACAAAGGAAAATGAAAATAGAACTTCAGAAAATCAAGAGACAGGGAGAGGAAAGGGGAAATAAAACTACGAAGCGGACAATCACAAAAACACCATATGTTTGGCATGCATGAAGCGATGTCATTCTAGCAGTAACCAAGGCATCTGGATGCCTCACATTGCGACAAAGCACAGAGGTGAGCAAAAGGACACACATGGGGTCTTGCAGACAGCAGGCCTGAGCAGAGCTGTGCACACTAAAGCAGCACCTGCCTTACCTCCCTGCACGTCACACCACCTTGCCTAGACGCCATCAACACCTGGCCCTGACACACCCACACCACCACAATCGCAAAAACCTGTGCCGTGAACACAACTCCTCCAAATGATTCCCCTCCTACTTAGACTGAGGGAAAGAAGCCAAGTCAGAACAAAATGTCATGAAATAACACGAAAGAAAATCAACTAAATGTGAACATGAGTTAAATAAAGACACTCTTGAAGATTGATGAGTGATGACTTTGTATCCCGGTTGATGGTACAAGGACGAACAATCGAAGAGGGAAAGACTTGTGAAGGAATGACAATGGGAAACCAAAAGAAAGCATGACACGTGGATTCATAAAATGGGAAAACAAGTAAAACCCATTGGAAAGTGAATTCATTCCCGCAGGGTTCCCACTTTGTTTGATCCACCTCCAAATTTGCTGAAATTCCATCAGCACGAGAAGGTCTGTCCAAATAAAGACGACTAACAGGAACAAACTTCAGAAAAGAAGAGATGGATAACGACGGGTGATCGATAGTTAAAACAAAAAATGAAAATCATAAGACATGGCATCTTCCCATTGAGTGGCTACTCTTCTTCAGACTTGGATTGTCTTCTTCCCCATTTATCCTGATAAAGAGAGCTGTTGCTGGTACAGCTAAGCCTGAACTTCCTGCGGACTGCTGAGAAATCCAGCAGATGGATGAAGATCTGTTTGTTGATGCTGCTTGGAGTTTGTTTGTAGAAGATGAATGTTGTGATTCACTTTTTAAAATCTCCTTTCTCTGAGGAAGGGCATAGGTCCAGCAGCATCGAACAGAACACAGAGCGGCCTGGTAGTAGCACTCCTACCTTGCGCAGTTGGCATAAGCTGCTGGAGTGGAACGCCAGGTGATCCTAAAGGAGCTACACCAGGATGCTGGAAAATCAGCCCATGGCGACCAACGTCAATCCGGGGCCTCTTAGCCTGATCTGGGATTTAAAACACACAATACCCTCATAACGCAAAAAAAAGCACTCGGCACAGAGCAATGACCTTCTGAAGACCTTACAGGTCACCTCTCCTTCCTCGGTTTAAGACTTCAACACAGAGCGCTAGTAGAGGATGCCAAATATCTAAAAGCAGAAGCAATTAGAGGGAGAAAAGAAAACAAACAGAAAACAAAGCAAACGGGGAGGAAACAAAGCAACATAAGAGACACAGGAGTCTACGATCCTTGCCCTACCTGCTTGCACCATAGCCTGTTGCCTCTTAAAGGCATCCATGTCTCCAGGGTTTGTAATGGTGCCAGAGGCAGCCCCTTGGTGTCCCTGCAGAAACAACATCTAAATAAATTAGTCAAATATTTTCTGATTTTCAATACAATTTAAATAAGAAATGACAGTTAATTTCATTGTAATAAGTGCTTAAAACAAGTGTCGCCTCTATCACCTGAAACTGCTGCTGGGCAGAGAAAGCTGCAGATACATTGGGAGGAAGCTGTGTTGCTATGGCAACTGGCGTCACTGCTTGGCCATCCTTTCCAGTAACAACCTTTACCTGAAAAGACACAGATTTGAAAGAGGCACAATATTCAAATGATATAAACATACAGTCCCGAATGTATAAACCCTACTTGATCTCACAAAGAGCCAAACTTTGTAATACCTCATCATTAATGACCTCAGACTGTTCTTCTTCTTCCTCCTCATCTTCAAGGTCCAAATCATTCTGTCTGAGGTAAGTATACAAGGGAACACAAGGCTTCTTCTTAAAAGCTAGGTAGTCCATCATGTTCCCTTGGAGGTGCTGCAGAAAGAAAAGTTCAATCAGATATTCTTTGAACACTTCTTTCAGGCTCTCCATCTTCTTGGTATGGTGCTCCAAGCACTGCTTTCTCAGCTGGGCAATCTCTGGAGTAGAGGGAGCAATTTCTTCCAATTTCTTGGCAACCTGCTTCTTCATGGTGCCCACAGTCATGCTGGTGGCTGCCAGAGGATTGTTGGGAATCCCTTGGGGGGGACTGGTGAGGGAGGGGCTAGAGGGTGGAATGGAGGAGGGAATACTAAATGAGGCTGTGGCTGTGGTTCCTACTCCAGTAACCACACCCTGTGCTGTCTTCTCAAATATCATAGGGCGCGCCAACTGTCCTTGAATGATACTGCTGATTTGTGGAGGTAGGTTGGAAGTGGTGATGTGACCAGGGCTGCCCAAAGTTGGCAGAGTTGCACCAGTGGCCACGGGACTTTGAGGTCCAAGGTGGTGAATGGTACCTCCAGTCTGTGAATGAGGCTGAGAGAGACGACGTTCTCTCACAGAGCCTGGCGTTCCTGGAGAAGTCAGCTGCACCTGGCCAGATGAGGCTGGGGCAATCTGGGCCAGTCCTGTTCCCTCCTGGTAAACAAAGTGGCCACTACCCGATGGACTGCCTAAACTGATTTGTCGCACTAACATACCAGCTTCAACAAATCGTGTTGGACTCTGTCCACACACACCCAATGCTGTTGCAGGCGCTCCTGGTCTTGTTACACCTTGCAGAGGGACTGGGCTATGCTGGGTGGGACTTTGGGGTTGGATGGGCTGGGGCACTGGTGACGTGACCTGGATGTAGGAGGATGGAGCATGCTCAAACCTCCACTGAGGTGTCGTGTGCTGGAAGCCAGGGGATGCTGGGTTTTGGATGGGGAGTGGGGTAAGGGTAATCTGCTGGTTAGCAGTGACCATTTGGCCCACATTTTGTAAAGTGATGTTTGTGACTGGGCTACGACTCATTATTATCTGATAATTGGGCGACTGGGGGGCTGAAGGGCTGGCAGCAGAGGAAAAAGTGGTCACAGGAGACTGTGGGTGGTTAACTGTAGCTTGCTGTTGCGTAGCTGCCATGGTTGGCTGCTGCTGCTGCTGCTGCTCGTCTGCTTCTGACCCACTGACAGACTTGGATCTCTGGAGCTGTCGTTGCATATTCTGTGATCCACTTCCATGGTGCATTGCGTGACACTGTGACTATGTCTAAACACAATAATCTGTGGAAAGGGCACAGTAAAGAACATAAATATGGGATTTTATCATTGTAATGTGAAACAAAAATCATCAGAGTTCTTTATCAGATGTTACTCAAGTATTGCTTTTTCTGGGTTATTAGAGAATGACTGTCTGCAGAGTTGCGACTTCATGAGCTGCCAAATGCATAATGTCTTTTCGGCAATATTGAATTTTCAAAAACTGTTAATATGTTATGTTAAAAGTGTTGTGTTGTTCCTTGAATTGTCAGGTACATTATTTATTGTATTAACCTGAAACAGACATTCCAGCCAGGTTACTTTAATAACAGTCAAGTTCTCTTCCTTTGTGTCATCAGAAAATCAAATATATGTGGAAACATACTAACTTGATGTGAAATTACATTAATTGTGACAGAGGATTATCTCAATATCACCCTCTTCTTAAAATACTATGTACATGAATTTTATACACACAGACAGATACAAGGGTTCAACTTCATTCACCCCACGATATTTGTAAATATGAAGGTAAGGAGACTTCATTATTGGAAGCTTGTACATTACGCATATTTAAAATATATAATATTCACAGTGATGTGTTAACAAAATCAGATTATCTATCCAGAAAAGTAACGTAATAACGTTACAGTTATATGTGTATGTGATACACACAAATCATATTACGCTAATAACTCACCTTTACAACTGTTTGCACTTGTAAGCAACAGCTACAATATTTATCACCTGTGGTAGATACACATGATCGTATTATGAAAATGACAATGCCAATTTGGTTTACCACAGAATCAACCAAAGTCGATATGCATTTCAAACAAAGGTGATGTACGTTAGCAACTGATACGGATGATGCTGAATAGCTCTGGTACTGCTGCCTACTACGGGAGATTCTCAACAACGTTCAGAAATTCGCCAGTTTGCTACACATTAGCCGTTTTAACACCTTCAAAACGAGATCATATTTACAAGAAACATTTACAACAGATATATCTATGGCAGTAAATACTGGGTATTGGTTTAAATATACATCGTTTTGCGACGGTAGCTTCCACTTCCAATTTCGCTCCGGGGCGTAACGTTGGCTAACGTTAGCAAGTAGCCTTACAGTTAAAGACAACAAACGCGAATGTCGGTAAAATGTGGGTATAGGCAAATGGTTTTGCCACACATAGATAAATATGCGAATAACTAATTGAAATGTCAAACTGTAACATTTGCAATAATAGTGCATGTGTAATATAAGCAATTACAGTGACCCTTGCTACGGGACGCGTGCTAGCCAATGCTAGCGATTAGCTTGTTATTACTAGCAGGCCAGCCGCCAATAAATAAATACATTTATCACTTAAATGGTGTTACTTACAGGGAATGGGGCTTCTGTGGTTGTTTCATAAATCCTAAGTCATATTTATATTAGGTTACATGCTGTAACAAGTGCTATTCCGCGAAAAATAAAATATCGATATTGCTAGCTGCTATTCAATGTTTTGGAGCTAGGTTAATTTCATTCAGCAACATGGCGACCGCGGCAACCTTCTGTGTGACCCGGATGTAGTTCTGACTCTGGGAAGTAGTATGAACAGATGACATCAGCTTTATTCATGTAACCATGGGCTATTTGATCAACTTTAATAAGAATGTATATGTCGGAAACGATATCATTTTCATCCAAAGGACTAATAACATAACATAAAAACCTATGTATTTAGTTTTTCAAAACCCATCATTGCTCCAGTTAGGTTAAGAAGCCTATTTGGAGCTTGGAATTTAGGATAAAACATTACTGTGATAAAAAAAATAAAATAGAATAAAAAAATCTAACTTGTTACTTCAATTAGACAACTTGAATTAATCTCGCATGCGAACTGAGACAGACTCAATGAAAATCTAATAATAAATTCAATTTATTTTGATCACACACCATGTAACTCATTCTGGCAAATACAACTGGCAGTCTTGAAACAACAAATACAAAAGGCAGTTGGTTAAAGACACACAAACCTCCGTTTAATGCTAACATTTTCACAAAGTATTGAATATGCGATTGTAATAAGCTCATGTCATATGAGACAAAAATTCAGTACAAATTCATTCACAGGTTACCATTTGCAGTGATCTAAATATAAAATTCTAGAAACAAATGAGCAAAGCTGAAACATTAAAAAAACAAACAAACAAACAAACAGGCACGCAAACAGCAGATAAACATAAACAATGTGGCATGCAGTTAAAGTCACTTTAAGTCCCTCATGACTGAGTACATCACCGCCTAGGGGAGGGTATTTTTGAATCAGCTGTTGTGAAACAAAAATCTCATTCAAATGTCAAAATATACTTATTGCACTCCTTGGTATAAGTCTGTATGACTGTAAGACTGGCAGTCATAAAGCAATTGTTCTGTATGATGACAAAGCATACTTTCATTACCTTTGCATCCACTATTCTGTAATGATGAAAAATGTACAAAAAATAGGCACAGTTTAACTCGTATTGCTACACATTGGCAACATTTGGTCATCTCATCCAAAATATCCAGAGTCCGGTGGACCGGTGAACATTGCTATACACATAACACAAAGGTTTCTAACACACAAAAAAACAGAACTAAACACTTTTTGTTTCAAGTATAACACATGAATGTGCTATTAAATTATTAGATTATTCTATGTGCAAAACAAGGAAACACATCAAAACATACAGTCTGTAACAAAACAAATATTCAGAACGATTTACCTGATCAAAATATTCAAGCAATCATAACACAATCTGTCTGTCCAAAACGTCCAGTTTTTTCTGAGCATTTATTTCGAGAGCTCAGACTGGGTAATGGGATGCGAGCAGATGCTCCAGTGGTCATTTCCCTTAGAAGAGATCAAAGTGCTTGTGTGTTGACAATCTTTAAGAATTTATCTATGCTGAGGCAAGACAGGTGAGGCAAGACAATGCAGGTGGTGGAGCTGATGGATATTTTTATGTCTGCAGAGCTGAGAGACGTCGTTCAATGCACTGCTTACCTGAAAAAAAAATTAAAAATGTAAATGATTACACAGGAAATGGGTTCATATGTTGTCTGAATATTGCATTTTAAGTTACTGTGTTGTACTTTGTGTGTCATAGTGCTTCCACATACATTTATCAATGCTGTCAATGTCCTTCTGCTCAGTGAGGTTCCGGGACAGACCCTCCATCAGCAGGAGGGCTTTATGGTAGCGCTGGACTGATGCTGTGCCAAACTGGAACATCTCATCCAAAGCGGCAGACTGGACCTGGATGCAATAAGAACATACACATTTAAAGAGCTAATATAATGATGTACACTTGATACATACAGAACAGAATCGGAATGAACATCATCATCATCCCCTGCTGTAGAATGAGCTCACCATGTGCACAGTGTGGTTGTAGATGAGCTTCTCTGCTGTGAGTCCACTGAACTGGTCCATGAGCTTCTGTTTGTCAAGCAAGAACGTCTGCAGCCGATTGTTGAGGGAGCGACAGTATGTTACACAGTTCTTGTACATTTCATTGAGCTTCCTGATCACTGCAAAAAATAAATACAATATGCGAAAACATTTTATTATTATACAAGCTTAATAAATATAGACTCACACATCACATCTCTGCAATCTGGAATCTGGTTGTTCAGCAGTGTTTGATAAAACTGTTTGTACTGCCTCCCATACTGATGAACTTACAGTTAACAAACACTGTTTCAAGTCAGCTTCATTGTCTTCAGCATCCTCTTTGCCTTTGCTTCATCTATATGTGTGTATGTGTGTGTGTTCGTGCAGCTCAGCCCTATGCTTGTGTGAATAGTAACCGGCAGAAGACCAGGGGAGGCGAGAGGGAGACAAGGATCTCCACTCATAATCAGGTTTTGAGGGGGAGACAATAGTATATTGTGCATCCTTCGTAACCACTCTAAGGTGCAAACAATCAGTTTGGAGGCTTGCAGCCAAATGTAAAAAATTTAATGAAAAAGAAAAACAGAACTGTCTTTGCCTTATAAGTTCTAACAAGGTTTAGATAATGGGAAGCTTGGGGTTATGGGTCATTAAGTTCTTGCAGCAGCTTCTGTTATACTACCACACTAGAAAAACCTGAATGAGCCAAGCTGCTCTCTGCAATTTTATTGATTTCAATTTTTCAACTACACCAAAAGGCTCCTCTTCTTTTAGAAGGACTTCAAACTGCAAACATTTACCAGACATGTTTCAAGTCTACAAAAGGGGAATGTTTGATATTCAAAACCTGAGGTTCCTTTTCTTACCTTGTTTGACTGTAGCAGAGGCAACGAGGTGGCCTTGTTTAATATTTCCTTTAGCAGTGTGCAGTGCTGATGACAGAAACTCTTCAGCCTTCATGTACAGCACTAACTGCTCTGCATAGCTGGAACATCACATAAGAAACAGAAGTCATTTCCAAGAGGTTTTGTAAACAGAGGGAGCTACTGTACACACAGAGAAAATGTTAAATCCGTCATGCCTCTCACCTCCATTCTCTACTCAGAAGGCTGATCTGATCAGTCACCAAGCTCTGCTCTAGAAAAGAAATATCTGGACTGCTGATGGTATCCAGCCCTGGGTCCTTAGAAGAAGCCAGTTCCATGACACAGTGGACAAAAGCCAAGGTGAAGCGCAAATCACTCAGAGCATCGGTGTGAGTCTGCTGTGAAAAGGACACATAAAACACTGTGAATATTGACACCGTTCATATGGACTCCAAAGCTCTCTAATTTAAGTTCATCTTTAAATGTACATTAATCTTGTAGCTTTAAAACAATCTGGAGGATTCATCCCACAGTACTATCGGTGTTTGACTGTACCTCCATCAGTGTATCTTCAGGCAGCTCTGGAGGGTGAAAAATCAGACTGCTGTGTGCAATTGCATCCATGATTTCAGTTTCACTATTTCTACGGCTATTTCGACGCTGCAGAGGGCGACTGTTAAGTAGCCAGGCTGAATTCATGTAGTTGGGGGAACCTGCATTGAGGAGAAAAAAAGCCAAGTTAGTTTTACCCTGAACACCTGATATACCGTATGTGCAATGGAGATGCAGGAGAGTAACTGATAACATGTTTTAGGTTCACACTAATCATTAAAAAAACATAAACCCTTAACAAGTGCAATCATGTGACGGCCTGATCTCACAGCAAACTGAAACTTTAATGTGAGAAAATCTGCTTGCTCTGCTACCCACCAGGGGTTAAATGGTTTACCTCAAAAACTCAATACTTATGTTGTGCTCTTGACACACTAATTAGAATTATACCTTGTTTCATTTGATCTTAATCAACTCCAAACATGAGAAACAGTACATGAGAAAAATCCACTCTCACTGGATTACTCACAATTATGCTTTAATAAGAGACTTTTCACAAATCTCCTGTAACATAAGCTAAAACAATGGTTAAAAATGTATGCCCTCAATAGTAAGTCAATATTCAGGGTAGTTAGAACACCTACCTGAGATTGTCCTTGATAGCATGGTATCAGGAGGAGTGTTTTCACTGGATGGTGAGCCCATAGTGAAGATTGTTGGAGGTGGACTTTCTGAGCAGTGAAAAACTTTATGACAACCAGTAGGTGGAGCTGTAGGAGCAGAAAAAAGATTCAAGTCAGATGGTTGCTACATTCTGAAATGTAGCCCAGTTAAACTGAAGTCCACTAACTGAATGCCATGGTTGTGATCATTTTAGGAAATTGATCAAAATAGGCACTTTTCTAATCTGTGACAGTAACCGTTATAACGATAAACAGTGTCAGTAGGAATCATCTAGCTGCTTGTACTTATAGTTCTTTGCACTCGTACCTGTTATATCCATGCTTTTCTCATATTCACTCTCCTCTTCAAAAAGGTGAGTTCCAAAGGCTGCCTTCAGCAGCATGTCAGACAGCCTGCCAGTGCTGAGTGACCTGCACATTCAATACAGCCACAGACACCAGTGTGAGCATTTAATAATTTATCAGAAAGTTTTACCGTGACATCTCCGGGTGAATGACAGTTAGATGTTCAATGTTAGCATAAGCACATGTAAATTCACATTTAATTCCACTGCCTTATCATTTTGCAGAATGTTAATATTTTTTCACATAACAATAATTGCTCTATTCACAATAATGTATTCGTGTTTTATTCTTCTGACCTTTTAAAAGGGCCCTTTTTATTGTCTGGCTTCCTGCTGGTGTTGGTCTGAGAAGGAGGAGATGTGTCAAGGGATTGCAGGTTTGGGACAGTCCTGGTTCGGTTTGGCATTCTTGGTTGAACCGTCTGCTGAAAAGGAAATGATAGTTCTCAAACCTCTTCCACTGCTTCAGCTGTGTGTAAATATTTTGTTAAAATGTATTGCCCTTATAAGAAGTGTGAAGAATAAGTCACGTCATGTTTGTTGTTTTAAAAAGCGATGAAACAAAATTGCACCACTTAAATTATTGTGCCATTATTGTGAAACAATGTAAAATGTGACCAACAGACTGGCACAGAAGTGTGTTTATGACAAAATAATAATTTTTGAACTTTGTATTTTTTTGGGAAATAATATATATATATGTATGTATAGAAGCTGACCTTGAGGCTGTCGGCCTGCACATCAGGAGAGTTAGTGAGCTGTCCAGTTCTTGTGCTGCGTGGGAGAGTCTGCTCCGAAGTCTTTGGGATCATTCCCACTAGCAGGATATCAAAAAGATAATCAAAACTATGATCAAAAACAGTATACAATGTTTTCAAGTCATCATTTCTTTTTACTTTCATAACTACTTCTGTAAGACATGAGACAAGCTCTGGCATTTGCTCGAGGTGTAGTCAAAAGTAAAAGTAGATGAGTCAGAGGGAAAATGGGTACAGAGACTGAACATGACATATTTGTGTTGTATATCTGAGTCAGATGGTGAAATCTTAGTTAACACCCAGTGTGAGCGTTTAGCTGCAGGACTGTGACAGAGACAGAAGACACTTTGCTTAACAAAAAGCCTTTAAATCTGATTGCAATTTATTGTGTCAGTCTATGAATAATACGTTTTTGTTTTTTAACCCTTTCACTGTACTACAATGATAATAATCTGACCAACAGTCTATTCATACATTTCCAATGTTCATTCATGACAGTTGTATACATGAAAATTCATTTGCATACAGCATATGAGCAAATAGGAAATAAAAGAGAATCCCATCCTGTCAATAAGACAGCAGATTTCACTATCAAATAGTAAAACGTAGCACAGCATAAGTCTCTTTTCTATCTGCACTTGCATACCAGATGCCAAATAAGACATGTATGCCTGAATGACACAAAACTTTCCCTCTAGAGCTTGACAAAGTCAGCAATGTGAAAAGAGCTAAACACTCTCAAGGTAAGTGATACAAAAACCAAATGAGACGGCTACCTCGTGGCGAGGATTGTTGTGGTCGGCCTCCTCTAGTTGCCAGCTTTGTGGAGTTACACTGTGGGGAACTTTCCCTGCTGCTGCCAGCACAGCATAATGTGACCCTGAATGACATGAGACAAAGTAAGACAAAGTTAGAAAATGGATAAAAGCAGGACTCTGAGGTCACTTGGGTGCAAGGGTAAGACGGCTGTACATGCCTGGTAGAGCCATTCAACCCGACGGGCTGCAGGTTCTGCGCCATACGCTGATAGTTTTGGATTTGAGTTGGGACGGGAATGGGCACTGAGTGGCTGCATTTCCGGCCAACTCCTTCATCAGGCTTGCTGCATGGTTAAAAGAGGAAGTTGAGTAATTAGGCACAGAGGAATAGGCAGTCAGGACTGACTTAGTTCATTTTAGAAATTGCTTAAAAATATCACTGGACTGTACAAAAAGTAAATGCACAGGTTCTAAAGTCAGAATTTCTCATATTGTACATAACATGAATACACTGTACATACTGTTGGGTTTATGTTCATACACAATTTAAGTATCTCAATCAATCAATCTAATCAAATATCTCGGAACAATTTTATTTTCCCACTACAAAAATATAAACCTGTCTGGTTGTCGCTTACTTAACAGGCTTGGAGGGAGAGTGCAGCAGGTCTGGGATGGCTGGTATCCTTCCTGGTCCTCTCTCAGCCACTAGTGAGCTCCTGAAGGAACATAACAGTCATTTCTTTCTGCACAAATTAGTAATGTTTTCTGACATTAACATTAATTACGTTTCAAACAAACCCTCCATGTAGTAAACTGGTGTCATATATCAGGCAGAATTTCAAATTAGTCCATACACTGAAATCACATCCTTAACAACTGAGTTACTGACTAGATATTGAGCACCTTAAAGAGCGACTACTCACCCGCTGTATATCATGCAGCTTTCAATGGGTGACCCAGCTTCCAGCTCACATGTGTAATCACCTACATAGCAGAAAAAAAGGAAATAGATTTGTTGTGCTGATGTGAAAAAGAACCTACACAGTTAAAAAGAAAAATCCAGATAACTATAGAGTGAGGCTCAGAGGTCTTACTCGGAAACTGTGCAGGCACCATGACATAATCTTCAGTGTAAGATGGGATGTTTCTACTGTCCTGACTGGCTGCTTCTTTCAGCAGTAGGCCGGGGGTGTCCTGTATAGGGGAGTGCTGCACCTTAGGCTGAAGTCGGTGCATCTCTCCATCGGAATGCTAAGAGAATGTAAAAAAAAAAAAAAAAAGAAGGACTGATGAAATTTATCTATGAGAAATTACAGGTAAACAATACATTGAGTGTTTCTTTTACATTTCATAGCTTATTTCTGTTGTGATCCTATGAGAGCTTTGTACATACTTGAGGCGAAGCGAGCTGGGATGTGGAGGAGCTGCTAGAGGAGCTGCCTGAGCCAGAACTGGGGTAGGACAGCATGGGAGCTGGTGAGCCTGTCAAAAAAAAACAACAAATACATGTTATACCGCAGCTATAGCCTCTTTATTGATACAAGGCTGCACAGACACATACAAGAAACTGTACTTACATTTCTTTGTGGATGAACTTGTCTCCAAAAATGGATGGTGAAAGAACTCATCTGCAAATGCAAGGAATTAAATGTAAGAAAAATGTTTTGAAATCAAATCATTAACATGAATTCTGAATATTAAAAGACAGAGGCTTACCAAAGCTAATTCGTTCTCTGTGGTTTCTCTGCAGCAGCCCCAGCATCAGGTGTCTTAGGTTACTAGAAGTCTCCTTTGGGATGCTGGGAAAATACAAATGCTTCTAATTTAGAATAATTTTGATTAGGTATAATGCCACTTAATATATAAATCACATCACCAAGTTCGCTTGCTGGTTCATTCCAATAATTTTAGATGCACAATACAATCCAGGAGGAGGAGAAAAGCATTGGATGGGATTATCTCTGCAGCTTTATACAGTGAGGTGCACGTGTGGCCTACATGTTTATAGAGCATGCTATTATTTTGAACTTGCTGCTTCAGTTTGTTCACTGTGTTTGCACTTTGCTGCCGATCTAAGTGGTATTTAGGTCAGTTATGGTTCATAAACATACAGTGAGCTGTAAAATGTGTGAATTTTTAATTTAATTTATGACTTTAGTATAAAAACCTGCAGGCATAGTGACACTCAGTCAGACTGTGTGCGTGTGTGCGTGTGTGTGTCTGTGTGTGTATTTACGTCTGTGTTGAGCTATGTGGGTCATGTGGAAAATGATAGCCACACAGGCCACTAGCTGGCACCTCGGAGCAGGTTATATATAGAATGAGAAGAAAACAACAAACTATGCCTCCCCACACAGCCTATCTTATCATCCAGCTTTATCACCGCAGAAGATAAGCATGGCTGTGAGCCATACACAGGCTGGCAAAGTACACCATGAAAACAGTAGGAAAACAATCCATGAATCCCTTTGAACACTTTCCAAGTCCAAGTTCTGAGTATCAAGAGATTCAGTGTTCAGAATGATGTAGCCAAGAGAACTGCTTATTAAGGCATCTGTAGTTTCTGATAACGAGACAAAACCTTATATAGAGAATTACACCACTGACAGGATAATATGTGTAGCATTGTATATTGGTCATTTTCAAATATCAATTGTGTGAAAGTGGCTGCTGGAGAATGTCCTGGATGACTGGTCCCGTCAGGTGTCTGTATCAGTTTCTTCCACATTAAAACTATTTTTAGTGGCGGTATGGGACTTATTTACTGTGCGCTAATTATATGCGTGTCTGTGTTTGTGCACTTGCGTGTGTTTTGTAAAGTATCCAAGTGCACATGAAACATCACTCACATACACGTAAAATTATGCGCAAGCACGCAGCAGATTAATGTTCATCAGCAAACTGAGCGCAGAGATGACAGATTTCCTAGTAATGCCTGTTTACACTCCTCCTATCATCTTCCCCCGTGGACTGTGTGAGTACAGTATATATGTGTGTTGAGGTCGGAGGTCATCTGGAGGTGCACTGACCTGGGTAACAGGGTCCTGTTGCTTTCATAGAAGAGACGGAGCTCCTGTGGTGTGCTGGCCTGGACGCACACACATAAAAACGTGAGTTACGCTTGAAAATGACCACCCACACACAATCACACAAACATATGCAAATAAATGCACCTGGTCCCTGTAAACAAGCATTTGAATATTTTTTTTTGCCTATGTCATTTACAAAATGGTAAATGGTCTGCACTTATCTACCTTAGTGGCACTCAAAGCGCTTTACAATGTTTTCTTATCCACCCATTCACACATTCATACACCAATGGCAACAGAGCTGCCATGCAAGGTGCTTCGGGTTCAGTGTCTTGCCCAAGGACACTTCAACTGCGGAAGGGCCAGGGATCGAACTTTACGATCAGAGGACAACCGCTCTACCACCTGAGCCACAGCCGCCCAACAGTTAAAGCATAGCTGTGCGAAATTGCATATTATCCAAATATAAACAATATGTGGGTGTTTGATGATCCCACCAAGGGCAAAGTGGAATGCTTGCCAGCTAAGCCAGCTAAACAAACAACATCCTCATCATCATCCACATCATCCAACTTCACACTAACCCTTGGACTTATCTCAACTCAGTGACTTGCCAGGCAGAAATAGAAGAGTATCCTCCCTCTCATTCTCACAGAAAATGAATTCAAGGAAACTATAACATAAATAACCGCAACAGGTTCAAGGTCGAACAACAGTATTTGTTCTTTGAACTTGCAAATCCAAGACAATAAAAAGGGGAAATCAGAACTAAAAAAAGGACTAAAGGTGAGGAAAACACTGGCATGTCTATGCACGTAGCAGTTCAACAGTTTAATCTGAGCAGCCACGTGAATGGTAGAAAGTAATAGCTATGATTGTGAAACATTATTTACTCTGGGTTCAGAGAAATGGCTCACAGTCATTTCCGCATGCCCCCCCCATCAGTAAACAAGGCTCATACTAAGAAGCAGTCATGCTGTTCCAGCATTTTCCAACCAGCAACACTGGAGATCAGTGAGAGTGTCACCCGGCAGGCAGGAGGGTTTTAATGGTTATGTTATGATTCATGTTGTTCCTCTATGTTATGAAAGGGATGAATCATGTTTACTTTTAGCGGTAATTAGTTAGCCCTTTTTAAGAACTAAAGCAAAACAATCTCATGACCCTTTGTGATTATGTAAAGGATATTAGCAAGCATTTGTTAGCAAACTGCTAAATCTATTTAACTCAACATCTAAAAAGAGCAACGTCAGGGTCTTCGTGGGTGTTTGTTGATGTGCTTTCACTCACATGAAATGGTGCTTTTCCAGTCAGACACTGGTACACAATAGTACCGATGCTCCATAGATCAGCTTTGGCATCATAGTTCTGGGACATGATGACCTCAGGAGCCTGTGCCAAGACAAACACAGATTACAGCTCAGGGACACGGTGACATTACACCTTGCTGGCACAGGAAACCACAGTGAGAGACCTTAATACTTACCATGTACATGGGAGAGCCGCACAGCGTGGCTGCCATAGTATTTGTCTGGAGATGACGTGCGAACCCAAAGTCGGCTGGAGGGTGAGAGAAAAAAGGTGAGGGACAGACAGAGACATACACTTCCCATATATGCAAATAATGCAGCAACAACATAATAGTGAGATTCGACCACATTCTGTACATTCAAATCTTCTAACAATTTGTTGGTTTATTGTATATGGTGTATTACCTATCTTAATGCTGGTGTTAACGGAACTGGACCTGCGCCCCTCTGGGTGGCAGAGTAAAATGTTCTGGGGTTTAAGGTCTCTGTGGAGAATCCCTTTGCCCTGCAGGACCTTCATGGCCTGAGCAATCTGCTGCAGAAATACACGGATGGTGTCTTCACTGAGGGTGCCCTTAGCTGTTGGTCAGAGGGATGAAATGCATGGGTTAGAGGAGAAAGTCAGCATGATAATATATAGAAGATTTATCATATTGCATCATGTGTAGATACAAAAGGAGCGTAAATAAAGTGTAAAGTGAGAAATAACTAAATACAGGAAACACCACCAAGTTGAAATGTTTAAGGGTTTACAGCATATATCTGGAAAATATCTGAAACTGACAAAGGTATTATAACAAATAGCTAATATAACAATTTTTTAAAAAAAGCTTAGCTGCAGTGCTCGATCTTCCTTAAAAATTAGATTTGCTTTGTTTGTTCTCACTCTCATCAAACTCTGATATGATGCAAGATGACAAAGCACAGTCCTAATCACGCCAGCGCCACTGCGGTCACACTTTGTGGAGAATTTTGTTTATGACGCTTCATTTGAAAATTAAAGTCAAAGCTCTGTCACATGCTAGCCCCCCCACCCACCCCTCCCCTCCCAGTGCATCCAGTATTTCAAGCTGCAGTGTTTTTCCACCAGAGGACAGGGGATAAGACAGTGACAGATGGGTGAGGTCATGTGGGTGCTCCATGAACCAAATGTGACTTGAGTGTTGTGTTGCAAATAGCTGTATGTGCCTCCTTGGCAGGGAGACAGAATCGGCAACTCTACAATATAAGAAGTGCTGGCACAGTGGCAACACTGGATTCACATCAGGTCTTAGATATGCACCAACGAGGTGAATCTAGCCTGAGAGAAATCTACTCCGTGCCCTCAGCTATGTCATCATCATATTTTAAAACACATCTTGAAACTTGAGGTGGGGATTTTTTTTTTTTAGTGAGAAAAGTTTTTTTTATTTTTCTGAGAATACAAACATGGTGAGACCTTAACAAGATGCAACACTAGCAGCTGCATAAAAGTGGGGATTTATTTTTGGCCTCTCCTTTTGCCCTTGTTTGTAGATAATTTGCAGGAAAGATAATAGAGAGAAACTTAATCACAAGTCGGGGTGAGAGGTTTAAATTTTTCTGGGTTAAGTATCTGTGAGTATTTGTGATCATTTACCCACTGGCCTGGTAGAACACATCTGACCTCGATGGTTGTGCTGCCCTGCCAAAATCCTATTATTCCTTTAAAACACTGAAAAAGCTCAGCAAAGCCTCTTAAAGGCCACACTGACCCACCAGCAGAACTCTAAGCTGCTCCAAACATGCCTACAAGTAACAAACTGTGACACTGGTCCTCTCTTGCAGCAGCAAGTATGTCATGGTGTAAATGTCTCCTTTTTGCAACAGACTGAAACAGAAAACTTAATGAGATGTGAGCTTTAAGTTCTACACTGTGAGGCAAACTTACAGTGGAGGTATTCTGCCAGGTCACCTCCATTGCAGTACTGAAAAGACAAGAAAGACAAGTCTTAACAGAGGCCTTCACAATGGTGTCTCATTGGTGGATGTGATTTGCATTTTCACACTAAAACAGTGCAGTCATTAGCATTTCTAACACAACTCACCTCCATGACGAGATACACGCACCCTCCCATCTCCTGTTGACGAAACCAGATAAATGCAAATGATCAACAAGATAGTTTCTAAAATAAGGTAGTGCCAAGAATAGATACTTGAGAACTGATCTGATGGGTGAGTAAATAAATGCTTTCACTTTAAATAAATTCAACATTGATGGAAAGAGAAGAGGATTACACCTAAAATCCATTGGAGTTCCAGCAACACATTATGCAACAAGTGACATCAGCTAATTTCTTAGATCGAGTTGACTGTTTTTGGGCCTGTTGCCAGTGGCTTCCAGAAACTCCTAGAAACGAGGAACATGCACTGTGACAACAGTGCACTCAGGGGCCTGAAACTGTATCCAGTGTCCAGCTCTGCTCTGCCATCCCCCCCTCCCCCTCGAGTCATACTGGACCCCTTTCCCAATTCAGCACCCAGCTTCATTGCCTTTGAAAACGTCACAGAGCAGTGAAGTGATATGCAGTGTGGTAACAGGGTGACACGTTTAAGGTGTCAGTCCCACCTGACTTCAATGGAAAGTAATGAACATGGATGCAAATTGCGTTTTGCAGAGTCAAAGCTGATACGTTCTGTGTGCTTGAGTGAAACTTAAGGAGTGTTTACCACTTGTGCTGCCACAGAAAACCACTCTAAGGCTATTATTGTGTAATAAGTATCGCAATAAAAGATAACAGTGGCTGAAGGTTGTCCAGATGCCAGGAAAATGAACACACTGATGTCCACAACAGCCTGAGCTGTCGTCTCAAGAGTGTAATCAACCCAGACTCACTGGCCTTTCGTGCTGGTGTGTATCTCGTGTGAGACAACGCTCTGTGCTCTATAAGCCATTGTTTAACCGGCAGCACCTTGCCATCTGTCAGAAAGAGTGAGAGATCAGCTCACCCACGTCTGGCTGTCTGGCAGGTGTCAGTAAGGTGAGAAGAGGGAAGCACACATGCACTCAGGCGAACTCAACCAAATGGTTAGTGTGCTGTGCTACATGTGACCTGCTGAGTTCAAAGACATTTAGGCTTTGGCTTTAACCAGCTGCAGGAAGTCCTAAATGTATTTAAGTTGGTCCATCAGATGCTCAAGATCGATCATGAATCAACTTTTCACTCTTTTATGATGATTTATTTATGAAGAAGGACTTCTAAAAGCTTCTAGCTCAGATCAGTGAGGCCTGCCGGCCACATGATAAACTACAACATCCGACAGCCATATTTGCACCGCATGAGCAACTGACGCTCAGTGTTTCAGCAACATGTCAACACTTGCATCATGTGGCAGCAAAGTGTGCAGTGATGCTTGTGTATTTGTTTTGCGTGAGTTAAGGTGAGGGAAGAGAGGACAGACCAAAAAAAATCCTTACCTGATAGTCAAGAAGTCTGACAATATTCTCATGTTTGAGCTCCTGGAGAGTTGGAAAAACATTTTTTGTTAAAGGTACACTATAGGAAACTGACACAGAATATAGGGAAACATTTTTTTCAAAAAATTACCTTTAATATTTTGATTTCTTTCCCAAGTAAAGATTGTGACTTGGCAAAGTTTTTCTTGTTAATACACTTCACAGCAACTTCCCAGTCACGTTTCTTGTGGGGGGGAAAAAAAGCAGACTATAAATACACCAGCCTCACACATGTCAATAATGAGCAGGCAAATTCAAGCATGTCTCAGATATTAAAAGTTACCTCTTTATGTCTGCCTTTAAACACCACTGCAAAGGCGCCGTGGCCAATCAGGTCTTTCCTGTTGAACTCAAACTTCCCAACAGACTCCATGGATTTAGAAAATTATGTCGATAAAAGTCAAGTCCCGGCAGGTTCAAGAGGTTAATTTTCCAACTGAAACACGGTCCCGCAGCACTTCCCTGGTGCCGGTAAATCCCATTTCATTGATGAAAAACACCGTCTTCACATGTGACAAGCTTTAAAATGCGAGAAACTACTGATGACAATATTACGAAGTTTCCGTCAACAGAGAAAAAAAGTTCCAACAACGTGCGCAGTCATAAACAGCAGTATGTAAACAAAAAAAACTAGCGGTCCAATGTGCTTGTTTAACGACTCGAAATTAGTCCATGTCGCCTTTCCAGAGCTGGTACGAGTTCAAAAAGTAGTACTTGTGCTGTTAAACGCAGTTCGTACTGAGTCACTGAGCTCAGATATTATTGTATTCCTCACCTTTCTGCCATCCGCAGGAGTTATTCATGTCTCTCCGCGAGCATGCGCAGAAGCACCGGCAGATGTTTGACGGTGACGCCTTCAGGGACAGCTCGTAAACTCGTTAATCAGTGTCTTCATTTGGCTGTGGCTTATTTTTAAATGTAATATCGAGAAGCTCCCACTTTCCAAAAGGAGAGTTAGGCTGGGTGGGCTTCTTATTTTATTATAACATACACAGTGTTGCTATAAACAACAACAATAATGCATATTTACCCTCATTTACAGAGGCAAACTCCATGTCCCCCCACCACATTAGCATATGCATACTCAGCATTACTGGCCCTATAGATGCTTGGCCCAGGGCCCTGCTGTGACCTAAAAAAAGAAGTGATCAGTGGGGGGTAAGCGGCTCTGTGACAAGTGATGCCTCAGTGGGTGGTTCACAGGAAGAATTTGTCCCCTAAAGCCCTTTTCAAATGTGGGATACATCGGCTTCATCAGACTGTTTAAATGATGGCGCTGTGTCATTTCGTCACAGATAGAGAAGATGGCAAAATGGGAAGTGACAGGTGGGAATATGGATGAATGGTAATGCTAAAGATATGTGGAGCAAAATGCATTTCAGTAATGTTGACTTCACCAGAAGCAAAGCGTGATATGGCTCAGTGATGTTCAGATCCAACGTGGAGTACAGACAGATCAATTCATGGTTTAAAGCCTTCGAAATAAGTAAGGATGGTGAAGAAAGTCAGTATGTTCTTATCTTTGTTTATTTATGTTAACAACAATGCATTATGCATCTGCAAAAAAACAAACATAAAGCAGTAAAATTCTGGTAGCTGTGACACCAAAAACACTATTAAGTAACAATAAATTATGATCTTAAAAAAAAATACAGCAATTTTCTATAATTTACAGGTTTTGTGCAGATCACTGAAGATTTACATAACCAAAACAATACAAAAAACGTTGGTATTGTAGACATGTGCTGCTTTTGTTTGTGTTTATTGGAGAGCTTAGTAATTTTTCAGGCTTCAAACAGCAGTTCATGTGTTCAGTTTTGTTGACTGTAAACATTCTTGATTCTTCTTATTCTGGCCTTTCTCATGTGCTTTCGGTGGGGGGCAAAATAAGTTCAAAATTCCAAAAGTTTATCTTAAGATGTGGCTTCAGCAGTCTTATATAATGAAATATCTTAAGAAAAATTCTGTTTTCAGTATTTCATGTTTAACCAGATTGTTTTCTTGTTGCGTTTCAGTAGAGGGCCAGAAATGCAAAGGCAGATTTTTGTTACAGTAAGACTGTAACTGCCATAACATATGATCCCCATCGTTTTCATATGGATATGAGGACTGTCTTGCTAAAAGAGACCACTCCCATTGGGATAAAAATGTTTTATCATATGATAAAGGTGATCACTAAGAGCAACTCTGTACTGATCCTATCTTTTATTACATTTAATAATTCATTGATGGTCAAGTGTTTTTGCTTGTAGTTATTGTATAATGCAGGTTGTGTCCATATCAGTTACTCTGAAAGAAACTTATAGGTGTTGTTATCCTTCAAAGTCATCCTTGGCAAAAATGTACACACAGTTCTGTAACGTATGTGTTGCATAGGTGCCAACACAAGTATCCACTGTTAAGGCCAGCATAAGTTATTCAATTAGATTTTTCAATTCAATTTTATTTGTATAGCGCAGTTTACAACACGTTATCACACAGCACTTAACAAAGTAAGGTATAGACCTTACAAATTTAAACAGAGAACCCAACAATCCAAAGGAGCCTTTGGACTTCCTCTGAGCAAGCAGTTAGCAATGGTGGGAAGGAACAATCGTGTGTATTAAAACATGCAGGTCTACAACCCATTCAAATGTGAATATGATGGTGAATAGCATGTAATGAAGACACTGACTTCTTGTTATAAACAGTTTTTAATAAAGATAATTGGAAGAGCAAACCATAGTACCATAAGATAACAATCACTAAAGGCCATATACAAGCTTAGGAATACTGAAATATTTAACTTTAAATCAGACATGAAAAGTGAGTGCAGAGTGACTTACAGTAAATCCTGTTCTAGGAAACGAAATGTTGGTACAGTGTAAGATCAATGGTGTTTTAAACAATGTCATCTCCCTCCATTCTCACAGTATGTTAAGAAAAAACAACCTCATCAAATCCCTCTGTTGTAGGACACATTTCATATTTTATTGTACAAAAAAAATGTGTGGAAATTTAAAAGAAATTAGCAACAACAACAGCTAAAGACAACATAAAAGTTCACAGGATTGTGCTCAATACACAACCAATATTCACTATTCCTCAAGAAGCATAACATATGGCAGCTTACTAAGATGTGAGGTACTGCAACTATGCCAGTCAATTCATTTCAAGAGAGAAAACACAAATAAACACAGAATTTAACATGAGAACATACTGACTGTTGAGCTGTGACACTTTGCAGAAAACATGATGAAGAACAAGATGAATCACAAAATAAATAAATACATTATATCAGAGTCTTATTCACTGGTACATCATCCATGACTATTATGCAGTTATTGTGTTGTGTTGTTCATAAAAGTGTAATAAATCTGTGTGGATCAGGTGAATATTAAAGAGAAATTCATCCAGATTAAATTTGTGATTTGTCCTTTGTGATGATGAATACCGTGAACATGTGGTGAAACCACTTTGTCGTGGTTTCTAAAGCATACATTTAACGCTATATTTAAGAAAAACATACTGTTTTAATTCCTCTTTTTTTCTATTCAAGGTTATAAATGTGTACCCAACCATACTCTAAATTTGCTTATCATCACAAATTTTTATTATGTTTCATTTTTTTGCATGTAAATTAAAAGAAGAAAATCACACAGTTTTTTTGTGTGAGATATCACTGTGATTTAAAGAAATCATTTGACATTTTGCAAGCTTGTTTGTTTTCTGGCCAAGAGTTAGATGAAAAAAAATCACTTTCACTCTCATGTCTGTATACTAAATATGACGCCACAGCTAGCAGCAGTAGCTTAGCACTAGTTCTGCAAAAAGGGCTTGCTACTCTGTAGTCGTTGTTTAGTGTACATGTTTAATAAATGAGATGTAATGTGTTGATTAATCAGATTTAGAGGTGCTGGTAGTTGAATTCTATCACTTTGGGCAGAGGGCGGTCAGCTATCGCCTCCTGTTTCCAGTCATTGTGCTAAGCTATGCTAACCACCTCATGGAAATTGTTGACTTTTTAAAAAATATCTGGACAAGCAAACATTTGATCCTCTTTGATAGACGGTCTATAGATAAAGGTGATACCTGGCACGACTTATGAAGGTAAATGTGCTTTTCCAATCATTTATTCGACAAAAATATTAATGGGTCTAATATTCTTTCATGGAAAAATTAAGTAGCATCAGAAGTTAGCATTGGCCCCTTTTGCATAATTGTCCACCAGTCTTTAACACTGGCTTGCAGGATTTTTGAAGGTTGGTTTGAAGGTAGCTTAGTGCCCAGTTTACGAGCTTTTTCATTTAAGTTTATATTCTTCACAGACATAAAAGTTGCATCAATATTTTCCATCTAACTTTCAGCAAGAAGGCAAATAAGCACATGTTCATTATAGGTCATGCAACAGACAAATCGAGTTCCTCTAATACACAGAGCATCACTGTCTGAGCCTGAACCACACTCATTGATCTCTGTCACTAAAATTCTCCTCTGAAATTCCTGCTTTTATTTGTGGTAAGTATGTTTCTGTGTGAGAATAATAAGGCACAGTCCTAAGAGTCTGTTTGTCTTTAAAAGGTGAAGCTATCGTTCAGCTACAGAGCGCCTCCTTTGGTATCGCTTTCACTTGAGTGGATGAGTGTCCAATTCATTACATAACGGGAATACAGCTGGCCAGTGTTTGCCATTCCACTTGAGTGAGCTTCAGATTGCTCTTCGGCCACAAACAGAAACGGTGATCCGGCCCGCTACACAGCAGAGAGGTCGATACGGTTGGCTGAGTTGGTGCTTTTGTCCCATGTGTTCAATTTGGTCGGTGTCACGCCCTCCTTGTTTCCATTCATCTATATAAAAGGATGGGAAGAAAGAGACAGAGAGGTGTTTAAAGTCAGGCAGTTAAGAGCTGCACAGTTCATTTTTGTTTCAGTAAGTGTTTTTTTTTTTTTTTTTTGTAACACTCACAATGTCAGAGTTGAAGGGCTTCACATTGATGTTGCGGATGGAGCTGCTGGTAAGAGACCACACCTTGGTTTTGTGTTTGAAAGCAGCTCTGACCTACAGAGAGAAGTGACGCCATAACAGACATTCATCACACTTAAGTAGAAATTCTTGCAACAGAAAATGGCTTTTACAACATGTTCTGAAAGTTGAAAACTAGCCAGCTGGCGAACACTAGAACATTTACAGAAATGTGTCATGATTCATGTGAGGAACACTGTCCCTTCAGTACTAATTAGAATAAATGCCTATATAATTAAGATGCTGAAATTCTGTCTGTTTTGTGTGTCGACATATTTTAAGTCAATAATATATCTGCTTTAGCACCATACCTCAGAGTTGAGAAGACAGTGAAACAAGAAGACAAAGAACCCCTAAAGAAAAAAATGCAAACTTTAGTAAAGATGTCACAGATCGTTGCAAACATTTAGAAAAATAAAAGTTGCTGTATCCAATTACTTACCTGTAATGAGTTGAATACAGCAAAAATATATAGGAACGGCAGAGAGTGTGTGTTGACAGCGAGAACACCAAAGATCCAAGAGATGCCCAGTATAGGCAGGAGCACAGCCACCGCCTTTGCAGTCAGCCTTGAAACAAACCGAAAGACAACCACGCTCACACGATTCGTTTTTAATAAATTAACAAGACATTAAAAATACATTTGTGTGATCACTAAAACAAATACACTCACTTGACTGCATTGGCATCTCCGTGAACTTTGTAATTCTCTCCGCTGATTCGAGATATGATCCTGGTCACAGATATCAGAATGCCAATGTTGACCTGGAGATCAGAAACAAGGTCAATTTACACAGAGCCACATGTGATTTTGTGTCTCCTCCTTGAGTAGAACGCAAACATACAATCAATGAATACAGATTATGTTGTAAATTAGTAAACAAATAGGGAACTATGAACAATGACGAATGCAAATTTTTCCTCACCACAATGACAAAAAGAGCTGGTGCCACAAAGGCCCAAATGGCTCCGTTCTTCAGCGACAGCCAGCAGCTGAAATAAGAAGGGCATTTATGAGAGCAAACAACATAGAAAAGTTATATTGTGTTGCCTCTATAATGTTGTAATGCAAATATGAAACAGCCCACTGTTAACCTATAAGCTTTTCCCTAACATTAAACACAGTTGTTTCCAATTTCTTCCACAGGTGATGTCATTCTCATGCAAAGGCAGAACACTCTAATGGGATAAAGTGAATTCCATACAATGTCATATAGATGTATAAGATGTAACGTGCATGTCAAACATACTTGTCAGTTTCACCGTAACTGTCCAGAGCTGACGTCATGGACACCACACAAATGACCAATGGAGAACCTGATGCAAAAAAACAAACACACATTCACTGATGTAATAGTAGTCATGACTGGATTTACCTGATTAGAGACCTTGGAGCAAAACATGTCATGTAGAGTTCAGTGGCTGTTTGTTTCTCCACTCTCTTTGCATTCACTATCTATGTACACTGTTGTGTTAAAGTATTAATCAGGTACAGTGCAAATACACATCAAATATCATGTTTACTTAGAGATGCTGTGCTTCATAGTTTGTAGTAATAACAGCATATAAAATACCAATGTATTTAGGAATGTCCACAAGATGTCCATTTGTTCTAATGGACTGTGCTTGTAGTTCTTTTCCATACAATACAATATTAATGGAATTTATTCCTACAGCATCTTTCAATTTTGGGACGTGCTTTACAAAACAACGCAATGCACAAAGCATTCAAAAACAACAATAAAACATTAAGAGGACAATAAAAAGTTATGATAAAGAGCAACAACATATATTGTATCTCTACTGTCCAACTTTTGAATGAAGGCAAACAAGCCAGAAAAAATACCTACAAAGTATTTTAAAGCCTGCATATTTAAATTCAAGGTTCCCTGCAAAAACACATTTTTCTTTTTTTCTTTTTTTTTGTTGCAGCTTCTTTTCTTTGCCTTGTGGTCAAAACTCTGCAGGATACCTTAAAGCAAAGTACAGCACTCTAAACCTGTGAGCCCGAGGCAGATCGTTACAGCCACCCAGTCATGGTTTTATTTATCCCCTATGCTGCTAATTGCGCATTTCCATGAAAATAGCCCTTTCCATTCCGCTGCTTTGATCTTCTGGCTTTCCAGGCCCAAAGGTTTCTAGCATGCTACACTAAGAGGAAACTTTTACTTTGAGGGAGGAAATGAAAGATAAAGTAGTCAGCAGCCTTTATCACAGCTAATAACAGCAGCAATTAATTATAAAAGGAGTATTTATATACTTTTTATGCACATGCAGCTATACTTCTTGCTGTCAGACAAGTCTCCTGCACGTAATTTGCAGTTGGCCACACAAAATGAAAAATTACTCTGGCCAGAAGAGAGGAAGTCATAAAAAAGGGATCGTTTTTCCACTAATGGGTTCAACATGTAAAAGAGAGACTATGCATTCCCCAGCAGCCAAAGACAGTATACGTATGTCCCAGATTAGTTTTATCTGTCCATCAAACTCTGGTTCACTGAGATCAACAGAGACAAATGTTAAACTGGAATGCAACAAAAAGCATATTTATTTAACATTGTCATAGTTATTTAATTTTAAAAGTGAATTTTTTAAAAAAAATACTGAAACCATGTTTACAGTAATGGTCTGGCGTGACATCCAGGGAAGACACTGGATCAAATTAGGGACAATAAAATAAGACGACAATAGACGCAACATCAAGAAAACATCATAGAGGGACGTGTCTTTGTTGTGTGGAATTGTCACTCGCGTACTGCGTTGATCACCTACCCCAGCCGATACCATAGTAGTAGAAGTGTTTGCTGCCCTCAGAGCCGAACACCTTGACCACCATACTGTAGAGGTGGAGGCCCTCCACCAGCATCCAGGCGAAGGCACTCAGAAAGAAGAAGTGAAGGAGGACAGCCATGACCTTACAAGGCAGCTGGGACAGAGGACAAAATCAGAGTTTCACTGTCAAAACAGTCTCCTTAAATGTTCATTCTTTCTCGTCTTTTTATGTTTTATCACTCAAAAGCTCACGTTTCCTGTTTTCTCTTATACCTGGCAACATTTTAAAATTTTAAGCCGCACGTCTCTTCATATTGTTGTACAAAATGCGGTAAATTTGTTATTATCTATACTAATAATCTCCCTGGGGTATTACAATGTCCTCATAACTGGTGACTCAATCATCTATGTCGTCATCATCACTAATTTGTTCTCTTCATTATTATAGTAGTAATTGTAAAAACACCATAACCATCATCAGTCCTGGTGTTATCATGCTGCCAGTCATTGTCACCACCATCATCATCATCACTGACACATGAAGAAGATTCTGCACTGTGCACCTACCGTGCCCGGGTCAAAGCGAGCGCTGATGAGCAGTAAGATCTCAGCCACCAGGATGGCAAAGGACAGGTTGGCGTGGATGTGGTAGCGTTGGTTACGGATGGTACTCACTGACCTGCAGAGCAGCATAATGACATCAGCACATTTTCTCTCTACAGTACTTTGGTAATAAGAAAACATACATCAGATGCAGAGTATTTGTCATAAAGGTAGATTTATGGAATAAAAATTACAGTATATGTTACATTAAGAATTCACTATTAAAAGTTACATGACAGTAATACTCACGACAGGACTGCAAAGGTGACCAGAGTGATGGCCAGACAGAAGATGGAAATGGAGCAGCCAACATAACCGATGGTTGATAGTGCCACCCTGTGGCCGGTAGTGAGCTGTGTACAGAGACAACATGACCATTACCAAAAGACAACACAGCCTGCAAAAGCATCTTGGCCTTCACGGTGGGTCGATACATGTGCCAAGGTGTACTGACACATCCAAAGCTAGCGTAGCCTGTTTAACTTTCATCAGCTTGGAAATTCAAGATTATGAACACAAGACAAACTCTCTCAGCATTTTTCAGCCAGGCTCCTCTCCAAGAGTGGTCATACTGTCATAAGATCAGCAAACTTGTTTACACCACTCTCTGTAAATGATAAAACACAGATGTACAGTTTTCACATTTATTTTAATTCTTTTTTTTTTTTTTTTAAACATGGTTTAATCAATTTTGAGGTGCAGTTGTTTTTCTTTATTTGAGCACAGTAAAAGTACAGTTGAATACCTATTTTATGGTGTTTGCATAAGCAAAATGTATATTGTCCAAGACAGTAGAGAATAACAGCGATAATTGTGTTTTCCATATGTGCACATCTATGGCACATGGCCGAGTGCATTGATGTTGTTTTGGAGTTCAGGCTATTTTGAGGGTTTGGGTTTGATTCTCCATTAACTGTCTACACATGTGCCTTGTCATTACGAGGGCAGAGGAGTCTCAGCCTTCCAGAAAAAGGATACGTGGGATGTTCCCTCGCAGCTGAGGGATGAGGCAGCCCACTAATTAGAGACTTGGTAAGAGAAAGTATAGCATCAAATAGACTTCTGAGCCTTAAATACAGCACTGGCCCACTTAGCTGCAATAAGAAGTCCGCTTTTCTATTTAAAGAGGCTATTGTGGATGCTAACCATTCTCCCATGGCACATGGGATAACAAAGAATTGGACTGTGGTGACATTGTACACAGGTTTGGCATTCCAAATTGCTCTACATTCTGTACATGATGTAAATGTAAAACATTATGAAGGACAGTGCTCACAGAATACAGAAGAACGGATGTTTTCCCAGATGTTTTAAATGGACGATGGTTTAAGGGGACAGTTTCTGGTGCTTTGAGAGACTGTGGCCTTGAGGAATGGACCACTGACCTGAGCAGTGACCCAGAAGAACCACACTTAATCAGAGTTGTCCAAAACCCTTCTGTCTGAAACCACCAGTAAAAATTTGTGATTATGTAGCTCTGCTTACAACTGACCCACAGGGAGGGACAGTAAACTGTTGCAGTTGGGCCTCTGGTTGGTGGGTTGCTCTGTGGTAAACCACTGCTTCCTGTCAATTTATGTCAATACAGATGTACTTAGTTTGTGAAGAAGATACAGAGGAAGGGCTCCATTTCTGAATGTGGCTGGTGTGGAGCGAGAGAGCTCTTCCTCTAACAGGTCAAATGCACTGTGGAGAAAATAGTACAAGCCTTTTTCACTGCAGACGCTTTGAACTCTAGTATCCCAGTGAGCTTGATGTACTGTGAGAACTGGACACTGGGCTCTAAGATGCTGCCCATTCACTTGAACTAAATTTGCTTGCCAAGTGCATCAGCCAAAGAAGTTTTCTAACTTCCGGGTGTGCCTTGGCACTGTAGGTCCCACTGCACATGCAGATTATTTATTTACTTTCTTCCCCCATTTGTCACAGCTTGCAGATGTATTTTTATATATATATTTTAAATTGAACACTTTAGCGAGTACTCTTCCATGAAACCATATCGAATCAGTCAAAGGCAAACTATTAACATCTTTACAGGGGTCTCTTACATTGGTGGTGTGTTGGCTAAATACCTTTGTGATGCAGGGGATTTCTTATGCGTTGTAACAGAAAAAAAAAAAAAAAATCAGAACTTTTTTGAGCAGTTGTGGGCAGTGCAACTACAGTACTGTACAACTACTCTGTAATAAATTTCCTTGTAAAATTACAGTTAAATACTGGCGGCTGTGGTCACTACCATCAGTACGGCTGTTTAATACTGCAACCAGATTTTCCAATAATTTACTGTATTTGTATAATGTTGTCAGTCAGTCAACAATAACCACAACTGAAGTTGCCATAAAATAGATTTTTTTTTTTTTTAAAACTGTGAATTGTATATATATAGGCCATAAATAACAAAGTGTCTTTAATCTTTAGAGATCTTCAAGCTCTTTGTAATACTGAAAAATGCATGTACCACTAAAACAAAATAATGGATAAAGTAAGTTATATTTTTATGGATTGGGGACATTTATTCAGCAGCAGCAATGTATAAGAAACTGTGGTCTATAGAATACATTTATTTTTCTAGCTCAATTTAAAAAGGTAAATAAGTAAAAAAAAAAAAAAAAAAGGCCTGTTCAAGTGCATCAGTGTAAAGTTATTATGCAAAAATATTTTGTCTATTCCACACTGTCACTTTTTACAGAACCACTGCTGTTACTGGTTTCTTGTTTTCCAAAACAGCATCAGTGTTTCATCAGTACTTTTATATTAGTTGCTTTTATTGTTTTTTTTATCCTGTAAAGCACCTTTGAGTTTTTGAAAAGCGCTATACAAATAAAATGCATTATTATTATTATTATTATTATTATTATTATTATTATTATTATTATTATTATTATTATTATTATTATTATTATACCTTCAAGGGAACGACTTGCATCAGGATGGCAAAGTTGGTCAGGTGGTTGCACAAACACACAGAATAGGTCATGTTCCCTTCTGAGCGAACGCAGCCTTCATTGGACCACACTCCCTCATTAGAACTGAAAAGAAAGACAATTACGTATTTTTCACGAAGGAAATATATTAAATATAAAGATCAAGATATAAAGAAGCACTATAAAGAAAAAATAGACAAGTCTGTTTTAATAGGAGCACTGCTGGCAGGAATCACTCCACATAATCCACTGTGGGAGGCACACAGAGTGTTCTTTGCTGACTGTACCAGGGCAATCTGACAGGGCAACCTAATAATTCACATTTTTCTTAAGCTTCAGGGCAAAGGGGAGTAAAGAAGAGGAAGCCTTTGAATCCAACTAAAACACTCTCCCTTTTAAAATGATTTATGTTTTTTAAATAGTGTCTTGGCTCCATTTATCAGGTCTTTTTTTTTTTCTTTACAGAGGGCTGTTGCTCAACACACAACAAACTGAAACAGCAACACATGTGGATGTTTTCCATTTGAATGAGCAAAAGGAAATACACATTTTCCAAATCACTGCTCGTTTCTTATGATTGAAAGAATCAAGCACAGAATATGCAAAGAATCAACAATCAAGATAAAAATCTGTTTGGCTCGACATCTGAATGAGACCTTCTGCATCTAAATGAGAAACATAGACCCACCTGTAGTCCAAGAAGGCACAGTAGAGGAAGACTTTATTGCTCTGGTTTAGCACTTGATCCTGCTGTTCTTTGGTCTGAAAGAGAATAGTCAAATAAAATTGAGATCTTTAACTGTGAGAGAAAAATTTTACACAGACTAAAATTTAGTTTTCTGATTGCACGGGTGCATTAAATAACTCAAACTAACTTTGCGCAACCTGTTTGAAAATGCTCTGTGATCCAGAAGACAGCATGGCGTATTTCTAATAAAAAATAGCACTTGACCTTTTATCCTTTAGCATATTAGAGAATAGAGCTGAAGTAACCATACTCTAAGGGTGAACAGCTTCATTATTTTTACTGTCACACAACTTTAAAAAAAAAAGATGCTTCCCTGTGGCCTTAAAGAAGATTAACTAAGCGAGATCTGAGCTCATACTCAAGGAAAGACAAGGGCAGCCTAATAGTTCACATTTTTCAGATCTGCACTCAGCAAAGGTGATTAATACGCTGAGCGAAAATCCCTGCTGTCTTCAAGAATCTTATTTGATTATAATTCACTTTTTCCATGTCATTCCTTAATATGAGATTTGGCGTCTCCAGAGACAGTGAGCTAATGGCTACAGTGCAAGAATGCAGTAATTGGGGCTTGGCCCTGGTTTCAGGTCAAACCACTACCCTCCTCAATCTGTCATCTGAAGAAAACAACACTTCCATTGGCCGGTTGGGTGTACACTGAGAGACTGCACACCTCTTCTCGTTCCCTGAGCCTTGACTCTCAGACCGAATAAGTATATGATTAGATGGACTGTGTCTGCACTATTTCCTTCTGGAAAAAGTGAGAGCGAGAGTGAAACTGACAGTCAGGCTGTCTGTTTCCTGGCCACAGGCTCAGTGATTCATATTACAAAGCATAGCACGATACCTTGACTTCATTGTGTAATCAAATCGCTGCTCTCATTCTGTCTGTTTCGCACATGCAGCTCTTTAGTCATCATGTATTATGACCCTCGAGATGAATGCAACAGATAGATATTCATGTGGCCCATTAGAGCGCTCAGGACAAAGGGTCCAAGAGGCATGAGATCGCCTTAAATGCACCCCGTCATCATCAGCCCTCGGCCAGCTTTGGGCAAATGCATGCAACCCTGTGGGTGAATTTACTAGTCTCCTGTGGACTTTAATAACTCACATTTCTTGTTGGGTGTAAATGAAAGCAGATGGAAGAGAGACGAACTGCAACTGGCATACTGTACGCCTTGCATTACAGTGTCAGCCTTTAATGTTCCCATGCAATGGAGGAAGACTAATTATCCATATTAAGAAACAAAATGTAAACTCTGCCTCATGGGAAACAATCCATCATTACCAAACCCTGATATGTACCAGACACAAGCTGAACTATATACATTGACTAACAGACCATCACATACATAAGGGCCGCTGTTTGGCCATGCTTCCTCTCTAGCAACTGTCTGTTTGTGGTATATCAAGCTGGAGTTTTCCAGTTGATATTTAGGAAGAGGTGCAGGAACCTGAAAGTCACCAGTGAGTGTTTAAATGCACTTCTGGCCGAGCTTTGTGCGCACGCTGTTGTTCCCCCAGTGCCCCCGAGGCCTCAGCATCTACCAGCCAAGACTGCAGCTGGCGCTCCAGCTCTTTATTAACAACAGAAGGCCAGAAAACGCCGCCCTGGAAATCACTTTGAGCCTCGTAAGGAGAGCAGAACAGAGAGGTAGAAAAGAGGGTGAAAGGCGGTGACAGGAGAGTGATGCAGAGTGACAGGCTGATAAAGGAGAAGAGTCTGAGGGGGAGACAGCCTGATAAATCTGAGATAGTCAAGGTGTTTCTGCTGCCTCTGCATTACGGTGTCCTACTTGGTCCCGCTATCAACCGAAGCTTCATCTGTCCAGTGATTACTGTAACTGTGACTCAATGGCTGCTGGATTTCAAAGCAGTGGAGTTCAATAATGGCAGAAGTCTAATGTCCAAATTCACAAACAAATATCAGTTGTAGAAGAAGTATTCAGGTCCTTAATTTAAGCTAAGTAAAGCATTTAAAGTATTTCATTACAAATAGATACCCTGCAATCAGTATCAAAGAAAGTCATACTTACTGATTTAAATAATATAGTATTAGATTTGGCAATACTAACAAAGTGTAAGCTGCATTTTACTACCGTTCAAGTGGTTTTTAAAGTAAAGTCATGATGCAGTTTTGATGGATGATGAAGGATGCTGGAAAAACAAAGTTCTATTCGCAAAGTGTATTCATTTTATAGATTTTTTGGAAATGATTTATTTCTGTAAATTTCTGATAATTTAAATGTTTTGGGTGTCAAATAGTTTAATGTTACTCTCTGGTCATTGATTAAACCCCTAAAAACTCCTCTTTTATTATCAAATTTATATTTAGATGTTTTATTCCATGAAAATAATATCTTCTTTCCTTGAAATGGCTTACATGTTGCTTCCTCAATAAAGGCCCCACTGCAGCTCGAGCACACCAGCTCGCCTCCAACTCCGCTTGAACACTGCAAAACTACCTTACGCTACACAATGACAAGTTGTAACACTGACGTACTTCAGCCATACATGTTGAAATCTGAAACTAATTGTAAAGAAGAACAATGATACAGAAAGTGCTTCCCTGCAAGATGTGGATTCCTTAGATTTGTTAGGTATGAAATCTACGAAGTCTGATACTGTGTTTTTGAGTGATTTTGGTTCACTGCAGTTTAAGGGTTGAAAAAACAAACAAACAAACAAACAAAAAAACATCATATGCACATGTTAACCAGGTAAAAACCTTGATTTTCAATGAGAGTATTTAAATGACACCATCTGAGAATTTTAGATCAGATCAGACCTGCTGACAACTTACAGACATCTAAAATGTGGCTCACAAGCCCCCCCCCCAAAAAAAAAAAATTGCTGTAAACCACCACGTCAGTCTCTGTTTTATATGTCTATTAATTATATCCTAATATGAATTGTAAATTTATTGCAGTAAGTTATATATCTTAAATGTCGTGAAGTCGATTTCAATATGTGAAACTACTGGCAGCTAATACACAGAGTCAGTCTGAGACAAAAAGTCTACAAGAAGAAATCCTGAAACAGCTGCAGGGGGATAAAAATACTGTAAATCCTGATACAACTCTTTTGGAGTCATCATCATAACATGCCTGTAACAGTTGTTGCTGCTATTATATTTTTTTCAGTGGGGTGAGGCTGCAGGCACTGAGCGCTTCTGCTTAAACATGCTGTTGTCATTCTTGGCCCACTTGCTTTGAGTCCAACTATAGAAGACTGTTGCATTTTACTCAACAACTGGATCAGAAACCCAACAGCTGAGCTAGGCATTTACTCTGTTTTCTCCCTTAGCAATGGGATCCTTTAGAAACAAAGGAAAAAACTTAAATTCATCATAAATAAATGTACACTATTTCCTGTTTCTCCATAACACAATACAATTTGCATTGACTTGGTTGGTATATTCTGCTTTTCTGTTTAAGAAATCATACAGCTGAAAATGGCAACATGTGGTAATAGATAAGTATGCCCAATGGGGCTACCGTACCATGACTGGATGTAAACAGGAAGAAGATGGAGCTCTGATAGTCTACCACATACCACAGAACCCCAACGCCCACAAGTCAATGCCAGCTGACGTCTTGTGCTGCATGTTAGTCCTCTCTTTTCCCATGTCTCCTGTCTTCTTCTATACTGTCAATTCTAACAATGGCAAAAGTTTATACTGAAAATGAAGTGTCACTTTGGCCTTGATATTGCCTTGAGTTTAAATCTTTTTTTCCTAAATGCATGAATCTGAGATGCTAAAAGTTACTCTAACAGAAGACTCTAGACCCTTTCAGACATGAATTCTTTCCCATTGTCAGCTTTATGTCTGAAAGAGCACCCTGCTCACTTATACTTAACAGTCCTGTCTAATGGGTCAGACCTAGTAACATTTATGTATCGCAACTTCATGCATTTGCATTAATAGATACATATGCACAAGATTACGAAATACTAATGGTCCAATCTCATGCGTATGGCAAACATCAAGTGGGTACCTTGACAACAGGTATGTTTGAATGAACTAATAATAACAGAGAAGTGACCCATGTCTAAATGACAGAATGGGGTCACTTTAACAGATTGATTAAGTCAGCAACCTTACATATCCCATGCATGAAAAGGGCTTTACAGACAGGCTACAGTTGCTGAAATTGTGACAAAGCAAATAGACAGCCTTGTATGAATTGTTGCTTGACTTGATTACTCTATGGCGCTGTTTGGTGTGTCCTTTTTACATCTAGGTGGGATCAGGAGAAACCAGTGTTAAACTTCTGTGTATGTCAGAGATGGAATAAAAATACACAACAGACCTATTGTTCAGTTAATTTCATACTGTATAGGTCAATTTGAATCACTAGTAAAATTGCAATAAATAAATTAAAAACTTTGAGGAAAAAAAAAAAGCTGCCAGTCAATCAAAAAAAATGTTGATCTGTACTATGATCTTTGTGTATGTATATGTATATGTATATAGAAAACTGTATGTTGACATTCAGAGGTCTAAGTAGCGTATCATGATGGTCTGCTATTTGCATCCAGGGCTGTACCTTACTTTTTGGGGGCCTTGTGCAAAATCTTGTTTGGGGGCTCCTCCAGCCATTTCAAGTCCTCCTGAATACTCACTAAATGTGCAACGTATTCCCTTTACGTTTATATGAGACCAAGGGCTACTTTTTACTCTAAAGGATTGGATGTAATTTAAATTGAAGAAACTGAGCTGCATTGTTGACCTCAAAATCAAAACAAAGAGGAAAATGATGAAATGTGAAATTATAAAATACATTATCTGGTACATAACTATAAATGGCACAATAAAAATGTTGCCCTCTCTACACTATGTCTCTTTCTAGATATCCTGAGCGATAACACTTTTAGAGTTAACAACCTGCCTGATGCTGTGAAAAGGAGGATGAGTGAGGCAGGAACAGAGGAGACACTGCATGTGGAAAAAACTTATTGAGAACAGGGATCTAACTGAAAATCTCAACATTGGTAGCATCACACTCTCCCT